AAAAAATAATTTAACAATCTCGGGGCGATCACTTCCATCACAAGGCTGGTACCTGCTATAAGTACTCATTCATTTACGGCATAATCGCGCTTCAAAGGGATTAAAATGCTAAGAAATATTTCTAGGAATAAAAATATTAGTAAGATTTTAGATATTCATTAGAATGATAAATACTTAAAATGCATAACTTTTACAAAAAAATATTTAGATCAAATATTGTTCCTATAATCTAAAATTTTAAATTGTATAAAATTATTTTTTTATTGTGGTACTTTTTAAATTTTTTGTAAACAGTTTGTTGGGTTAATTTTAACATATTATTGAGCTTGACAATTTAATAAAATATGTACAAAATGGTATAAACTCGGTTGAGAATTATAGAAGTTGGATTAAAATCAGAATGCCATTCCCATGCATTTGTTGTTCTGTGTACATAATATCTGTGATATAAGTCCGCATATTTGGTGGTTACTTTTCACACCGATATAATTTTTGACTATGTATTCATAGAACTTAATTTTTTTTATGTTTATTCAGAGAATCTTCTGTTGTTCTGTATCCTATTCTTAACGAGATATAAACTACATGTACTTTGCGATTTTTTCAATGTACGCTTTTTTCCATGTGCGCTTTTTTCCTTGTGCGCTTTTATACCCGTGCGGTTTTTTCCATGTGCGGTTTTTTCCGTGTGCGCATATTTCCACGTGCGCTTATTTCCTGTGCGTTTATATGTCTGTGCGCTTTTTTCTGTGCGGATATTTCCTGTGCGCTTATTTCCTTTGCGCTTTTTTCCGGGATTCGTTTGGGTTACATCCCCATCGTTTACCCGCCATGTTTCTGCATACCATTAGGGCTTTTGTGGCCTTATTTACTACTTCCTTCTCATGTGTGTTCCAGAGAAGTTTGTTGTCCAGGGTTAGGCCTAGATATTTGACTTCATTTTTCCATTCTATATCTATCCCGTCTAATTTAACGGTTTTGAGATTAAGTTTTCTTTTCCTTGAAAAGGCTACTAGTGTTGTTTTTGTAGGGTTTATACTAAGTCCCACTTCACGGCACCATCTTTTGGTATGTTCTAGTCCTCTTTGGACTATATCACACAGGATATTACTAAACTTGCCACTAGCAAATATGACTGTGTCGTCGGCATAACCTTGACAGGGTATGCCGAGGTCAGTCAATCTGCATAGAAGTTCGTCTACGATTAGGCTCCACATTAGTGGGGATAGAACTCCTCCTTGTGGACATCCTCTGGTTGTGCAGATGGAGATGGTGTCCTGCCCTATCTGTGTCTCTGCAGTTCTCGAAGATAACAGCTGAGCCATCCATCTGGATGTGATGTTATCTACTCCTCTGTATGCAAGTGCTCTTTTTACAGATTCGTGTGGCGTGTTGTCAAAAGCTCCTTCTATGTCTAGAAAGGCACACACGACCGTTTCTTTGTTTGTCAGTGCATCCTGGATTACATCAGTCAACTGTACCAGGGCAGTTTCTGTAGATCTTCCTGCTCGGTACGCGTGTTGGCTGTGATGGAGTGGCACCCTCTCCAGGACTTCTGTTCTGATATAGTTATCAACAGCCTTCTCCATTGTTTTTAATACAAAGGATGTGAGGCTGATTGGACGGAAAGATTTAGGATGTGTGGTATCCTTTTTCCCTATTTTTGGAATAAAGGTGACTCTGGCCCTTCTCCATGCTTCTGGTATATATCCCAGCTCCAGACTGCTCCGGGATAGCCGGATTATGTGTGGTAGTAATTCCTCCTGTGCCTGCTGAAGCAGGGCAGGAAATATTCCATCCACACCTGGAGACTTAAACGGTTTAAAAGTGTTTACGGCCCACCTTAACCGATTTCTGCTGCATATATGCTTGGCCACTACAGCGGCCTCTCTTGGGGGTCTGCTTACCTTAGTTGTGTCCCTTATTAGAAAAGGTGTGCTTCCAGGAAAGTGAGTTTCGAGTAAGAGGCGAGCTCTTTCCTCCTCACTCTCCGTGAAGCTTCCATTTGGTTTCTTTAATGCCATAACTGTATCAACTCTCCCTTTTGCCAGGACCCTATGCAGTCTCGCTGCCTAAGGTGTAGAGTTAATATCCTCGCAGAATTTTCTAAAGCTGTTACTTTTAGCTTTCCTGATTTCTTTGTTGTAGGTAGTAAGCGCCTCGGTGTAGCTCTGCCAATCTCCGCTGTGCTTGGCCCTATTATAGAGCTTCCGCACTTCGGATCGTAAGTTTGACAGATGACGGTTCCACCAAGGAGCATCCCTACTAGTCCTATTTCTTTGAATGGGGCAGCTTAATTCATATGCCTCAAGTATTGCCCCATTTAGTTCTTTGAGATCGCTTTCCAGAGCAAGTGGATGCCCCGGCTCCTTTTTTGTCTGGATACGTGCTAAATTTTGTAAAGCTAAATGGCCAGATTCAGTAACAGCCATTTTTACATCACTCTTGACTTCTTCATAATGAGAATCCAATAATGTAGTTGACAATGTTTTTCTTGTTGGAAGAGCGAGAGCATAAGAGGGGCGTACGAAATGTAAAAAATCTTTCCAAAATGGACGTTCTACCATGGAGAGATGGCTTCCTCATGTAAATATTGCTTTTGCTGGTAGGTTTTTAGCTTTGGCCTGCAAAGAAAAATATTTTGTGCCTTAGTTAAAAATATGTTTCTCAGGCGCCAATACATTAGTCCCATTCCATACTATAAAGCATAAAATAAAAAAATCTTGATAATACTTATTTTCTGTGTCATAATTATTATTAAAATAAAGATCCTCTTGACTACTTGTCTTAATGTTGATTTTTAAAAATGAAGATATACAAAACAACTACCGCCAAACGGTTATTTTAGTAAAATAACTTACCTTTTCAGAAGCACTCATATGATCAAAAAATGTTGAAATGTCTCTTGACCTTGATGATGTAATGGATGTTGCAACGGTGGGTGTAGTTGTACATGTAATATTCGAAACATCTGATGTTGCAGTAGGGGTTGATCTAATCGGATCAGATTTATTAAGCCCCTTCTTTATACCGCTGTTAATCTCACCCCGGCATTTACTACATTTATTTAAAATGTTCTTAGTCATTTTTGTTATATTTTTCACTGTATACAACAAATTGCAATGATTGCATTTAAAACTCGTTTTAGTTCCTTTAAGTAACGGAGTAAAGTTGTCCATAACCCTTTTTAACGATTTCATTCAGTTGCTCAGTTTAGTTTAGAGACAATAATGCACCTACAATTTTTATAATACCAACTGAGCTGAGTCGGCAGTCAGCCAGACTCGACTACAAGTCCTGACATGTATAAACAAAGAATAACAGTCAACAGTATTGTCAGATTTAACAAACTGCATCTAATATTGCGTAATTGTATGAATTCTGTTATTTCCAGAAAAATTCCCGTTTTTTTCCTGAGATTTAGGGTTTGGAGAAATTCCCGGAAATTTTCCTGTTCCCAGTGGAAATTTCTCGGCTACCCATCACTATTTGCAGCTAGTTGTTCTTGAAACCCCAGCCATGCATCTTATAACTTTTTTTTGTACACAGAAGGCTCGCTCCAGATGAGTTGAGCAGCCCCAAAAAATTAGACCGTATGAGATAATTGATTCAACCAAAGCAAAATAAGTTAATTTTATCCACTTATTTGGTGGCACCTTATACCTATTCAGTAATATTTAATTCCTTGTTATTTAAAGATGTGTAAACAAAATCGCTAACTCCCCTATGGCACTAGATGTTGACTTATTTCTGCGAAAACCATGTTGAAATTTACTCAAAAGTATATTATGTTCTAGAAATTTAATGAACTTGTTATTATAGGCCATTTCGAATATTTTAGCCAGTTGACTTTGAATGCAGATGTTCCTATAGTTTGCCATGTCATTTACAGGCCCTTTATTTTTATATATAGGAATGGATTTGATTTTTTTAATATGCATGAAAAAGACTCGTTAATAAGGTAGGACATAGGTACACTAATATCTTCAGCAATAAAAGACAATATTGTTCCATCTATTTCATTTATACCAGCAGATTTTTTACAAGTTGTTTTCTGTATAATTTCTGGTATTTCCTTTGGGGTAGTTGCAGTTAAACATAGAGTGCTTATAGAAATATCTTGGAACCTTGCTTCACTATAATTTGGTAGAAGATAGTCTACATCAGTAAACTGATTATTAAAAGCATTACATATATTTTGCACACCAGAAATTTTGTTGCCTTAACAATTTAGCATCTCGATGGGTAATTTTTTTACTGATTTTCCTTTTGCCTCATTTACAATTCTCCAACATTCTTTTGTTGAATTTTTTCTTTAATTGCCGTTTTATTATTATAGGAAAGTTTTGCTGATTTGACTTTATTGTCATAAATTATTTTGAGTTTTTTATATCTATCCCTATAGTATCATTATTACTGGTTATGTATATACTATGTAATTCACACAGCATCTCATACAGTGCACTTAGTTATAAAAATGATTTTTGTGTCGTTTAGGTTTAACTTTTTTAAATGTAAAAGCTTTGTTAAATTTGTTATTGAACTCAGATGAGCCATACATGTCTTCCCATGAAACGTTAATAATTATATTTTTAAAGATAAGCTTGTTACTGTCACTTAAATCCCTAACAAATGATTGTGTAGTTTCTACCTGATTTGTTATTTGCAAGTTGAATTCACAGAGTTGTAGTGAATGATCTGATAGGAAACTATTTTGAACAATAACATTTTTATATTCAATATTTGTAAAAAGTGGATCAACTTGCGCGCTAGTCTCAGTCGACGCCATATTTACTTACTCTATTTAAATTTTATTTTCTTAGGAAACATAATGCAAGATTTTCATTTGCTATTTTCTACTATTTTGATTCTCTTTATGACTGAAATTACTTGATTAAACAATCAAATATTTATTTTGTAAAATAATGGTCTTGTTTTTTTATATTATTTATTGTATTCTTCAAAATTTAAAACACAATTTACTTTTTTTTTTATTTAAGATAAATATAAACAAACCCATAATATTAATTTAGAAAGTTCAGCTGGCAGAGACAATGAACCAACAGATAACGATGAGTTTCAGTCAGTTTCTGAAAATCAAGCTAGTTTAACTCCGGAAAAAGAAAGAAGACATTCGCCAATCACTTTTGAATCTGATCGAACACCTCCAAGAAAACCATCAGTGTTAAAAAGATTAGGAGAAAGAATCTCTGACCGAAAATCGAATTATTCAAAAAGGGAACACCGATTTAAAAGACGTTCATCGTCGGATAGAAATACTAGTAGGAAAAGTTCGAGAGATGATCGTATACGTAGTAGGAGCAATGATAGAAGTCGTCATGGTGTTGTAGAGTTTTCAAAGTTAAAGGTTTGTCATGTACTGTTTAAAATTTCATACCATTTTATACAATTTTATAATATAAATTTAGTGAAAAATCTTCAATTAACTAAATGCCCATTTAGAAGTTAAAAATATTCAATTCAACTTTTATTTGACAAATTACATGTGAGAACAAAAACTGTTTTAAATTTGAACATTTTACTATTTTCATTTATCCCTTGATACATAAACATGTATCCCCTATAGTCTTTCGCTTTGGTACCAACGCTAAATTCTTGAATTGTTGAATATTCATTTGATTTGGTGATTTATGTAAAACCTAATAATGTATCGTACATCTTCTTAGTATAATGAATTATTTTTGTGGCTTTATAGAATAAATTAAGTCAAAAGGAAGTCATGTCGAAAATTCATGTTCCCAAAAAAGTTCCGGAAGAATTGGAACACTTGGATGAATTGAAATTAAGAGAAGTACGCAGCATGGTTCAGGTCAAACCGAGGGTAATTTCTTCAGGTGCACCGCAACCTAATAAAAATTTGCTTTTAAAAGCTGTAGAGGAAGCGCATAGAAGCGTATCTCAATCTACAAACATTAAGGTACGGATTTTTTGGGAAATATTACGATAAAAAAATGTTTCGGACAAACAAAAGTTATTTGACATTAAAGGGGCAACATACAAATTTTAGTAACTGAGTATGCATCTTCAAGGTCGACTTTGTTTTTCAAAGAGAAATCTGTACATATTTTTTAATGTGTTACTCTACGCAAAAAATCTAGTACGTTTAATTTGAAATATGCGGAAGAATAGAAGAGCACCAAATATATTTTTTATTTTCCTGACTTAGAACTCAACAAAATTGATTATTGCGACTTAGAACTCAGAAAAATTGATTTGTCCGAGTTAGAACTCGGAAAAATCGATTACTTCGACTTTAAAACTCAGAAAAGTCTATTTTTCTGACTAAGAACTCGGAAAAATAGATTATTTCAACTTTAGAACTCTAAAATATCTATTTTTCTGAATTAGAACTCAGAAAAATAGATTATTCCGATTTAGAACTCAGACAATTCGATTTTTTTGACTTGGTACTTAAAAAAATAGATTTTTCCGACTTTAGAACTCGGAAAAATCTATTTTTCTGACTTAAAACTGGGAAAAATATTTTTTTTCTATTTAGAACTCGATAAAAATCGATTTGTCTGAGCTAGAACTCAGAATAATAGATTATTCCGACTTAAAACTCGGAAAAATAGATTATTTCGATTTAGAACTCGGAAAAAATCGATTTGTTCGAGGTAGAACTCGAAAAAATAGATTATTCCGACTTACAACTCAAAAAAATCAATTTATCTGACATAGAACTCGGAAAAATAGATTATTTAGATTTAGAACTCAGATAAATCGATTTTTTGATTTGGAACTCGAAAACAGATAATTCCGACTTTAGAACTTGAAAAAAATCTATTTTTCTGACTTAAAAACTAGGAAAAATAGATTTTTCCGATTTAGAACTCGGAAAAATCAATTTGTTCGAGCTAGAACTCAGAATAATAGATTATTCATGTTTAAAACTAAGAAAAGTCGATTTTTCTGATTTAGAATTCGAAACATAGATTATTCCGACTTTAGAACTCGGAAAATAGATTTTTTTGACTTAGAACTCGGAAAAATATATTTTTCCGATTTAAAACTTGGAAAAATAGATTATTCCGACTTAAAACTCGGAAAAATGGATTATTCCGAATGAGAACTCAGAAAAATAGATTTTTTTCTCAGTACTAAATCGAAATAATCTATTTTTCAGAGTTCTTATTCGGAATAATCCATTTTTCCGAGTTTTAAGTCGGAATAATCTATTTTTCCAAGTTTTAAATCGGAAAAATATATTTTTCCTAGTTCTGAGTCAAGAAAATTTATTTTTCCGAGTTCTAAAGTCGGAATAATCAATTTTTTTAGTATTAAGTCAGAAAAATCAAATTTTCTGAGTTCTAAAGTCAGAATAATCAATTTTTCCCAGTTTTTATTTGGAAAAATCGACTTTTCTGAGTTTTAAGTCAGAATAATCTATTATTCCTAGTTTTAAGTTAGAGAAATCTATTTTAACGAGTTTTAAGTCAGAAAAATAGACTTTTTCGAGTTCTAAAGTCGGAACAATTTATTTTTCCGGGTTCTAACTCGAACAAATCGATTTTTGTCGAGTTTTAAGTCTGAAAAATCGTTTCTTCAGGTGCTAAGTCAGAAAAATAAATTTTTCTTAGATCTAAGTCAGAAAAATCAATTTTTTCCGAGTTCTAAGTCGGAATAATCTATTTTTCCGAGTTCTGACTCGGAGAAATCGATTTTTCTCTAGTTCTAACTCGGACAAATCGATTTTTTCGAGTTCTTAGTCGGAATAATTAATTATTTTAGTATTCTAACTCGAATAAATCGTTTTTTTTCCAAGTTCTAAGTCGCAATAATCAAGTTTTCTTTTTTATTGTCATAAATTGGAAAAAAAAAAGTTGATAAATAGTAAACTAAAAATTATGTTAATAAAAACATTTAGTACAGAATAAAATGATAAAATAAAACGTAAAACGACAGTCACGAAAATATGAAACATTTTTTTAAGGCAGTAAATTTAAACGGCGAAATACCCAATACAAGAAAATTGTCGCACAGAGAAAAAGTAAAACTGAGAAACATTATTTTGGCACAAGTTTCAAGAGAGGATAGCGATACTGATGATGAAGAAAGGGAATACGAATATGTTCCTAAACCACTTGTAAAAAAAGGTCATCAAGAATTACCAGAATATGTTCCTTCATCGAGAGAATCTATAGATGGTATGTTTATTGCTTCTTATATTTATTTAATTGTTTTGGGTTGGTACTTTTTAGCTACTTTTAAAACTACAAAATAAAATGTGTGTTCCATTGAAAAATTCATATAAATTTAAAAATAATAAAACTATTCATAACTTGTCGATGTTTTTACTACCGTTTACCATAAATGAGTTAAGTGGCTTACTTACAGCAATGTTTAATAGTAAAAACTCCTCAGAACCCGATGAGGTATCAACGTTTATCTTGAGAAAGATTATACAGGGTGTTATTGAAATACACGTACATATTAAAATGGGGAATAGTATGTAATTACCAAAAACGATTGGCACCAATTTTAACTTCAAATTCTAAAATTTAAATATTGGGGAAGAGTCCCCTTTTCCGACCTACTAGTTTCCATATTTAAAGAAGTAAAATAAATCGAAATTGAACTTACCCATATAAATTGCACTGTTGCCGTAGCAAAACCAATTAATTCAAAATAAAGTTTATTACAGTAATTGTTCAAAATGCCGTCCATTATTATTTACACACACTTGCAATCGTCTTTCCAAAGAACTTTGAACATTAGAAATTAGTCTTGGATTTTGTCGTAGTTCCTCGGCTACCGCATTAACTTTATTGGTTAATTGTTCAACACTATTAATAGGTTCATTATAAACCAGTTGTTTCATGTGACCCCACAAAAAGAAATCGCATGGATTTAAGTCCGGAGATCTCGGAGGCCACTTAGTAGGTCCATTTCTGCCTATCCACTTCTGAGGAAATCTAATGTTCAAAAACTGCCGTACGTTTAAATCAAAGTGAGGAGGAGCGCCATCTAGTACGTACCACATCCGTTGCCTTAATTGTAACGGTATCTCTTCTAGGAGTACTGGCAAAATATCTTCTAAAAAGTGGAGATATCCTGGCCCATTTAATCTGTTCGGGAGAACATAAGGCCCAATTAAATACTGATCTATTATGCCAGCCCAAACATTTATTGAAAATTTTCTTTGATGCCCAGTTTCCCTAATGGCGTGAGGATTTTCATCACTCCAAATATGCGTATTGTGTATATTGAACACGCCATCACGAGTGAATGAAGTATACAATAATATTTTTAGAAAATCAGGAATATCAACACATTTTTGAATCATCCATTCACAAAACTCCACTCTCTTTTCTTCATCACCTGGATATAAGGCCTGGACTTTTTGGATGTGATAAGGATGTAAACCTTGTTCTTTAAGTGTCCGCCACACAACAAATGAGGACACTCCAATTTCAAGACCTAGTCTTCTACAACTTAATTGAGGCCTGTTTTCAACAGCTTCCAATATTTCTTCTTCGGCCGCCAATGTTCTTTGTGTTCTTGTTCTCCCTCGATCTGCATTGACACTCTCAAATTTTCCATGGTCTCTTAGATGCTGAACAGTTGAAATAAACGTACGACAGTCCGGAATTCTCCGATTTGGAAACCGTTCGCGATACAGGATTTGTGCTTGCCGAGAATTTTCTCCAGCTGCCCCATAAACCAGCACTATATCCGTTAGTTCAATATTCGTAAATAGTGGCATCGTAAAAAAATATTTAAAAGTAATCGTAACAACACTTTTTACCAACTTGGAAATGACGCGCTCGTGTTAGCCAGATTCGTAAATCAACTAAAATTTTAATAATCTATAGTTTCAAAAATGTATAGTTTAAAAACAATCATTTATCAAATATTCTAGTTTTTTGATAACGAGGGTAGTAAAAACCAGTCTTCGGAAATAGAAATTAATTCGAAAATCTTGGCAACATGGTTATTTCTTACAAGACTAGTTTTCTTATCATCTGACAAAAACTTGCATATTAATTACTGTTGATGTTTAAAATAGGTAAATAAACCTAATTTATATAGGTCATCCTCAACATATCAGTGAAGTACGTTTGATTTAGAATTAATTTTCAAAAATTAATAACTCCCTTAATAAGGGGTATTTTTAAAAAATAATATTTTTCTACATTCAGTGGGGATCTGCGCAATACCCAGTTTTAATATGTACGTGTATTTCAATAACACCCTGTATATTTATTATTAACAAACTTTAGTTTTAATTAACCTTTCTTTTACTAAAGGAACATTTCCAAATGTGCTAAATCGAAGCTATTTCAATAATTTTCAGAACCATTAACACCAGAAAAAAACTCGAAGAAAAGAATTTCGGCAAAAGCGCGACTAGAAAGAAGGAAATCACCATCGCCAATAATATTTGATAAGCGAATAATTAAGGTGAGTTTTGTCAATTTATTTATCCCTATCGTATGGTTGATATTTTAAGTCGTGTAATGATAGATGAGTAAAGGGTATAAATGGATTTTAATCAATTTCATTCAAATTCCGTATTTATGTACTAGGGACAATATACAAAGTGTATTGTGTTGTACACGTCAATATCCATGACTAAATATTAAACAAAAATAAAACTAAAATTAAAATTGATGCAAAATAGTATTAGTGTGCAAGTTAGATCGACTTACTAAGTTAAAATGGCGTATTCACCAGGACTAGAGGAAAACTTAATAAAGCCCATTTGCAATTACATCAATAATATAGTTTGTAACCATTTTTACCACATAATCTAATATTTAAGCAGAAACCCAACAAAAAATTATCTTATTTCTAATACTGTAGGGCTCAATATCAGTAAAGATATTTGTTGAATTATATTCAACATTGCTCTAAGCTTTCATGCTCAATTCTTTTATTAATTTCTGCAAACCGCACTGCCTTTTACTCCTGGAGACGTCTTTGCTGCACTGCCTTAGCCGATAAGAAGGGTCTCCCATCTAATAGCTACGTCACACGTCATTCACTTCTTGTCCACTTCTCATTGGTCATTCATACCCGGTAATTGCCTTCATTGGTTAAAAACTCCAGTGTTATGTACTTTCTAATTAGTCAACGTTGAGTGTCACTCTCAAGCTAGCTGAGCAACTTCTCTCCTAGCAGATCATAAAAAGCAGTCACAAACAAAACATCGCTTTGCGGTGTAAAAGAAGGCACCACTTTCGGCGGCCATCATGAATTAATTTTTAAAAACGTAAAAATGGTTTAAGTGCTTAAGTAACTAATTTCCTAAGAAAGGTCTTTACATAGTGTAAAAAGTATGTAGTTTGTAAGTGAACCATCTAATAAAATTAACATGGTTTCAATAGTGTTTTAAAATAAAGTGTGTGATTAGGTGATGTTTTCATCCAAGCACTAATACTTCCAGCCCAACGGATCGCACAGGTATTTCCAACATTATTTAGTATAGTTCACAATTTGCCAAGGTCTATATGTCGATTCTAGTTTGTTTATTGGCGCAGAAACACTGTTAGAAGCCTGTTTTTCGTTCAATTTGCGACAACATTTCTAATGGTTCACTTACATCTACCTACAATTTTAATATTTTTTATATGAAGTAAAAACATTTAATATAACATCCTTTTTTGTGTAGTGTGGTTTTATGCTTTGGTACTACAAAACTATCTACTCCGTTCGTATTATGTGAATGACGAAAATATGTTCTTTGAAGTAAACCTGATATTTAATTATAAAATTTATACATGAATATACATATTATGCATCCACCACTGTCATCAGATTTTACTATCTATCTAAAGAATCCTCCATATAAATCTCTAAATAATATAATAATAATAATAATAATAATACTCTCCCTAATTCACCCCCTTACGAGTGAATTTCAACCCCTGAAGTCGACTGAATGACTTGTGTAGGGGAAGGGACGGCTATTATTATTATTTGCCGTGGCGCTCCGGGGCGACTTAAAGATGATTGATGGTGCCATTTGACTTACAGGTGAGGAAAACCCGGAAAACCTCACCCACCATCATCGAGACGGTAATACATGGCGATTTTTTTAATCTGCATGTCATATCAACAGAAATTGAATTTCTATTGATACGCACACATCAAATCCTAAACCGAACCATGCAATTTAATTAAAAATCCACATGGTCTGGTCTAGGATTCGAAGCCCAGCAGTCTCAGACTCATAAACTTGCCTATAAATGAATATAAGCGCGATAGACCGCTACACCACCGTCCCGATTCAACCCAATTAGTATTTTCAATGCTCTTTTTTGTATTACAGAGACTAATTGTTATAACCACCCCAGAAGGTGATTCCCTAAAACATTATGCAATAAAAATGTCCGAAATAAACAGATCTCAAAGTATTTTGATTTAAAACTTTGTTTGATTCTTTTAGAGCAGTAGGGTGATTTTGCACGGTAATTTTCATGAATAATAATTTTTTAATCTTAATTTTCTTCTAAATGAATAAAACAATGTTTTCTTGTTAAAATAAACACCTTTATTGATCGTTTTTACGTAAATATGATTGAAAATTTCGATGCGATATTATAATCCATTGAAATTATAGCTCGTTAACCTAAATTTACAGTTAATATAAAAGAAACACACTCATTTGAAATATATTTTTTAGGTTTCCAGTAATTCTAATAAGTTGGAGATTCCTGATCGTCTGCCAGTGGTTCATCCAGCAATTTCTTTAAAAAATAAAGAAACGTGTAAATATTGGCCTAACTGCAGACAAGGAGACAAATGCGAATTCGTTCATCCATCAACAAAATGCGAATTATTTCCAAATTGTCAGTACCGAGACAAGTGTTTGTATATTCATCCTAGTTGCAAGTTTGGACCGGCTTGCACGAAAAAAAATTGTCCGTATAGTCATTTTAACAGTACTAAACTATTAAACAAATTGCCAGTGACGCAACCCCAAACTTGCAAGTTTTTTCCGAAGTGTACGAACATTACGTGTCCGTTTTATCATCCGAAACTCTGCAAGTTCGGAAATTACTGTAAAAACAAAACTGATTGTCCTTTTTCTCATATATTTGATAAATCTAGTCTTACATGGAGATCAAAAGTGTAATATATCAGGTATGTTTAAAAAAGTAAAAATATATATGTAAATATTTATTGCTTTCTCATCAGAAAATGTGTTTAATTTTAGAATAAATTGCATTGGAATTATTTGTGTTTTATATTATGAGTATTTTGAAGGTATGTAGTTATTTTATTATTTATATAAATTGCAAACGCTTAAAATGATGCGACACTGATCATAGTGTCGGAAACATTTCCCATCTGAACTCAAACAATTTATCTTTGCTCAAATTACTCATATTTTAAAATTTCTGGATTTCTAAGCTTAGCAAAATGCGCAAGAACATTCAACAGTTTCTAGGCTAAATATCACACTAATTTTTAAATAAACGTTTGAATGTGTTAAGGTTTTGTCTTTTATTTATTTATTATAAGTGAAGTAAATGTAAAATCAGGTTCTACTAATTTTAAATTAATGACCTAAAAAAGGGCATTCCTCAAAAATGTCTATGCAAACATATGAAGGGTACACGGGAAAAACAAGTCGTGTTTTTATCGCCGTTTTAGACTTATAATCCTACATATTTTTATCTGTATACAGATAAGGAAAGTATAGGAATGATGATTTTTTTCTACCTCGAGTTTTCGACGAATTTTTATGTTTTGAGGTCTCCTAAATCCGTTTTCACTATTTTCGCGATGATGTCTGTGTATGTCTGGACGTGCGATGCGTGTGTGGTGGTATCTTCGATAACTCGTGGACGGATACAAAGAAAAACACCAATTTTAAACTAAAAAAAAAAATATCTGTTCTTAGATAAAAAAATATATTTATTTTCTAGCATAAGTTAGGTACAAATACCACTTTAACGTATCCTAAAGAGAACGACTTGCAATATCAAATAGGGCGTTTTGCAAACCCAAGGAGAAGTAGGTAATGGGCTACTTGGAAGCCCTCCCTCCACTCCACTTTTCACCATATCTGATTAGCTACTTCGACCAAAAGGCCACGCCCACTTGAGAGTATATTGCGTCTATGAGGTAACACCAAGAAATAAAACAAATTAAAGATAAACATATTTATTCAATTTACAAAATTAAAAATATTTATAGCGTACAATACCTATCGGTTCTTATTAGCCATTCCAATGGCATTCTTCTGGTCTGTATCTTCTGTAAGAGGTATATAGCATAGTTTATTTTGAAATTATCAGGTCTTACAACCTTTGCGCATGATTGGACACTTTTTCTTGGAATTCTTCGATGAGAGTTTTTGACTTTCATTATATCTAGTTTGTTGCTCTGTTTGTCAGATCTTCAAAAAGTAATTACTTTTGTTTAAATCCATATGGGTATATTAGATTAGGAGTTGGACGTTATTTGTCCTTGTGCACAGTGACCTTTTCAAATATATTGTGGGACTCCGTTTGTTTTAGAGTGTCGTCTATCCTGGTCTTTTTTATTAGCTTTGACAGTGGCTCCCGCATGTAGTTGCATGCAATTGGCTTTTCTTCGTCCAATGTTAGAAACCTCATTCCAGCCAGGCTTTCACATTGGCACAGGACGTGGAATGATGTTTCCGCTTCTTCACAGAACCTGCACAAAGTTGCTTCTTCTGCTGGATTTATGACACCTATGTGCTTTTTGAGGTGACAGTGTTCAGTAAGAAGGTCTACTGTTATCCTAACGATTTGACGCTTTTAATCCAGTAGGTCTTTCGTGAATTGGCCGATGGTTCCTTGATGAACTGTTTGGCCTGTCTCAGTCTTGAATAGTTGTTTCACCATTCCTGAAACTCTTTTTGCATCCATTGTTTAATGGATGCCTTGCACAATGTCTTAGCAACTCCACAGAAGGGTTCGGGGCCTGTCATGGCCTTATCTGAGCCTTCTCGGGCTAATTCGTCGCCCTGATATCCCTCATGGCCTGGAACCTAGGCTAGGGTCACCTTATTTTGACTACTTAGCTCTGTCAGGTCCTCTAGACAGTCTTTCACCAGTCGTGAATTGATTTCTGGTGAGATAATTGCCTTTAGAGCTGCTTGGCTATCAGAGTATATGGCAATAGCTTTGCCTGATACTTGCTGATTTAATATTTCTCTTGCACAGTGTTGTATGGCTATTAGCTCAGCCTGGAACCCTGTTGCATATTTTCCTAAACTCAGAGAAATCGTTGATTTCGACTTGGCTTCATAGATTCCAGCACCGGCTCCTACCTTGGTTTTAAACCGTCTGTGTATCAGACGAGTTCAGTCTGTACGGGAGGTCCCTGTTTCCAGGATTCTCGGGCTGGTATTTGAATTTGAACATTTCTTTCAAATTTGTATATGGTTATGGCTTTATCAGTAAGCATAGCTAGAATATTATTCCTTTTTACTTGCTGATATAACCTTGTATGGTGGGCGCTATATAGTTGGCTTATTGGGTTTTGTCGCTGCATTAGCCTGTGAATAGCTGACCTGGTTTCTCCTTGTATGAAGATGTGCAGTGGCGTGAGATTTAATAATACCTCCATTGCTACGGTCAGCGTAGTGCGCATGGCCCCAGTAGAACTTAGACAGGCAAGCCTCTGAATGCTAATGAGTTGGCCTATTGCACTTGCCTGCGCAGTTTTGGTTACCCACGCCACTGCCATTGATCCTCTTCGGAGGTGACCATTCTGGATTTGGGCCTTTTAGATGTTGATGGCACATTTGTCTGGTCAACTTCCGTGGCCTGTTTTGTTATCTCTGGCACTTCTGCCTGAGATTGCTCTTGTTCGACTGCTGCTGGTGGCACATTTGCCTGTTTAGCAGTAGGAGTTTCTGAGTTAGTTTTTATATTTTCTAGGTCCATATTGTTCCCACGAGTAGCTGGGAAAAGATACATCAACCCCGTCGAGAGCCCCGCCTTAGACGGGCAAGCCTACTTACTCGGGAGGGCGGCCGGTATCTCGAGGTACCGTTTGACACAGCTGTTTCGATGCAGCACAGCTGCTATTCATCCCTCGGCACGGTTTACTGACACATAAAGTGGTATATTGTTAAATTATTTTTTTTGCAAATATTAGTAGTAGATGCATGCATTTTTTTGAATGCCTCCTACAATAATTACGACGCCAATGACAGTTTGGCAATTTTCGGAAAATTAGTCGCTAAGTTCACACCGGTTGAGGCATTGGAGGTGTGAACATTTTTCTGCAGATATTCGTGGCTTTGAAAACGCAATTTTTTGCTTCCGTCTCATTCTTTCAAATACAGGGTGTCCCAATGAAAAGTAGTCCATTTCCAGAGCTTATAACTTTTAAACAAATCATAGAAACGTGCGGTTTTTAAGTTATTTTGCTATAAGTTTTGCAGTAACACAGACATCATGTATTACCTATACAGGGTGTTTTTTAAATTCACCGTAACCAAATTTTATCAAATGGAAACGGGCTATTTTTCATTGGGACACACTGTATTAGTTTTTTTGCTTTAATTTGCACACCACCACCTTCAATATTATCAACTTTCAGTATTATTTTCACTTTGCCTTATTATAAATAATACGCCAGTTTAGTGTGACGTCATTTTGATCCCACCGACATTTAATTCTAACCAAACTAGTGATGCGACATCAATACGAAACATCGATGTTAACATCAAAAGCCAACATAAATGGTATGAAAATATCGATTACAAAACTGAAACCAATAGCTCTTAATTTCAATGTTTATCTACTCCTCTTTTTGATACTTTCAAGCAGACTTTGAAGGAAGTACAATTTTTAATTGATTAAAAGTCGATTTGACCTTTTGTATGTTTACAATGTAGTTTGTTTGTAAATGGTTAATATGAGGTTAAAATTTATAATTAAATTGAAAAAAAAAGTGATGTAAATATTTTATTACAATATAATCAATTTTGATTCCTGTTTTAGTATTATTTACTTATTATTTTTATCTCAGTTAGTGAATAGAAATGTATAAATATAGATACTAGAGTTAAACAATACTTTACATTTTTACATAATATTTCATACGGATACTCGATTCTTCTATTTGCAAATATAAAATGTTAAGAGAAATGTACAAAAAAATGACAACACCCTTAAATTTAATTAATGTCTTATTGCTAATATCTCAATAATTTATTGTAGTAATAAATCAATTAATATTAATACTTAATTTATTCAATATTTATAACATTCCACTCGATAACTAATTAATTAACTGACTAGTAGACCTCAACTGTTTTGATCTTTCGAGTCTGCGGTATTATCATCTTTAACGGGCGTTTGCTTGCACTTGACTTGCAATTTTTCATAAGTGTCCCCATGAAGAAAAGTTACAAGCACGACAGTCATATTATCACATCCTAAACCCGCCATTTGACAATCGGGCGCCAGACAACGCATCATAAGTTCTTCGCATATTTCTTCCGGTTCATGTCCACTAGCGATGTTTTCTCGTATAAAAGAAACCACTTCTTTGTTATTCATTACGTCCCAAATTCCGTCGCAAGCTAGCACAATAAACTCCCAATCCAATGTTATGTTATGTTCTTGAACGTCTGGAAAAGCTGAAATATATATGATAATGTATTATACACAATTTAAAATTGATATGATAATTATTTCATACCTGTAACAATTTGCTCTTCTGCCGACTTTTCGGTATTTCTTTTGAAGGCAAAATCACCCAGAGCTCTTGATAGCGCCAGATTCCCATTAACTCGATTACAATCCACCCAACCTCCTGCGGCGGTAATCCTATCGTATTCTCCTTGATTAGAAGGCTTGTGATCCTCTGAAAGGGCTTCTGCTCGACCATTTATGCTGGCTACTATTCGAGAATCTCCCACATTAGCGCAATAGATTTTCTGACCTTTTATTAAAGCTGTTATGGCAGTTGTTCCAGATGGTTTATTAAATAAAGATTCCTCGTCTAGCATATGAGAATCCAACTCGAGAAATGCTTTTCTCATTGCTTCGGCGATATCGCCATCTTTGTATTCTGGTCGGTTAACTATAAATTTATGTAAATGCTTCCCTAAAAAACAACATTTATTTAAAAAATGTTAGTGTTAAATAAAACGAATCAATTAAAAAAGTAGAACTGATTTATTAGTTAATTATTTTTATTTTTCTGACCTAAAACTTAAGAAAATGGATTATTTTGACTTATAACTCGGAAAAATCGATTATTCTGACTTAGAACTAGGAAAAATCGATTTTTCGGACCTAGGTCTCAGAAAAATAGATTACTCTGACTTGAAACCTGGAAAATTACGGAAGGGGAGAAGCACATATATTTTTTTTCATTATTTCGACTTGTAACTGAGAAAAATCCACAAAATTATAGGTAGCATTGATTTAATTGATAATTTAATAAATGTACTATCTTGGAATTATAATTAAAAAAAATATTCATTTAAATGAACAAAAATCGGGAATAACATGAAAATTGGACAAAAAATGTACATAAGTTGTGCTCATAGATATATAACCAAGACAGATAGGATTATTTACAAAATTTTTGAAGAATGAACGGTGGTGTCCGCGGTAGAAACTCAATAATCGGATTGAACATTGATGCCAAGTTTACGTGCTTTTAACTATAGATATATATAACCAATACAGATTACACAATTTCTGAAGTCAACGCGGATGATCCTCGACAGAAATGCAATATTTGGATAAAATTAAAATATTGATGCCAAGTTTGCGATGTTTTTAACTGTAGTAATGTTATTGCGTTTGCTTGAATTACTGTTAGGTCTTTAAATTGTCCAAAAAAAAATAATGTCTGACAACAGCGGAAGTTGAGTAGACCGCAATTGTGGAGGGTCGTATATTGTTTCATTCATAAAAATTCCTTCGATACAGTACTAGTCCAGGAGCCAATGAATTTTTTCGTACTTGTTTTCCCGGTCCGTGTATATTTAAATAATCTATTCCCGGTGAACTGTATATTTAAAATGGAACGCCAATCTATTAACAAAAGTAAGCCAGATTGAATTCGCGCATTACGTCACATCGATACAAGTGAGATCGTTTACAAAGTGCCTTTGCAGGCCTATTTTGCCCATTTGCCCAAATAAATAAATAAATAAATAAATAAATTTCATGTATTTGTTTTTAAATCATGTTAAATTACTATTTTTGAAACTCAACAAGGAGAAAATCCAATTAACTCTTCCGTTGTGTATATATATAAGATAAATTAACTGAAGTTTTATTAGTAAAGTATTAACACTAAAATTTTCCATAAAAACGACCCCATCTCAAGCAACTTATTTTCACTGATTTAAGTTATCGAGTCAGGTTTTATTTTTGTTTTAATAAATTAAAAGTATTCTTTATCGTTAACAACAATTTAATAGATGAGAAATACGTTTGTTACATTTTTAAATGTTAAATTACTATTTTTGAAACTCAACAAGGAGAAAATCCAATTAACTTTTCCGTTGTGTATATATATAAGATAAATTAACTGAAGTTTTATTAGTAAAGTATTAATACTAAAATTTTAACGTAATTTACAGAAAATAGCTAGGTATGTATTGGTTTTTAAATAATTTGATAATTTATGAAAAAAGGGAGTAAAAGTGGAATGACCAGTGACCAGTAGGTCAGTCAATACAAAGTATCATATATTTATATTATAACATAACTAAAATACCTACATCTTTTAATCATAAGGACATAAGTTAAAAATCATTTTAATATATGCATTAGAATGAAGTAATAATAACTTAAAAAGACGAGGTCTTAACCCTTTAACGCGCAAAACTATTTTTTGCCAGGTTTTCAAAAAATAACGATATGTGTGGGTTATATAAGTAAAACTAAGTATATTACTGTGTCTTAAAAAAATTACAAGTTTGAACTTTGAGTTGTAGAAGGTGGTCGATTTTTCGACCAGCGCACGTTCAGGATGGCACACTTTGGGCTCGAATCGTAGTCAAAATATCGACCAGTTCAGTTTTTCAAAATAAAAAAAAAATAATGAATATAAACATTTATTTTTAAAATAAAAAAACAGTAAATCAGTACTTCAATACACAACCAAATAAACAAATAATAACTAACTGTATGCGTACAGAGGCAGATATTCGACCACTTGTTAGGGACTAAGCTGGGACGTGCACTAAATAGCGCGCCAAATTTTATTACGGGTTGATATTTCGCCTGAAAACGTTACCGGTAAGTGTCTAGCAGAGATCTGGTCTAAATTCAGACTGCGCGCTAAATCGTACAAGCAGAAAAATTAAGTGGTTTAAATACCAACCATTGCCCGCTAAAGGGTTAAAGTAATAGCTGGTACAGCATGTTTTTTAAACGTTTCCTCATTTCTGCTAGAATGAAATCACTTACTATGAAATGTGCTCGCTCTAAAAACGGCATTTATAGCAGTCAGTGTTCAGTCTTAGGATCTCTTCTTAAAGCCCGCATCCAAGCTGCATACATATTAAAAAATAATTTAAAAAAAAAACATATATACCTATATAGTTTTCGCTTCTGGGTGCCCTAAAAGAGGACACTTAGCCGACAATTTGGCTCAGATAGCTAAAACCCAAAAGTCACACCCCGAACCAGGACGTATTGCTATCCTTTTAAGTAAAAAATAACTACAAATAACTTACCTGAAAAACTTTACACCAAAAAAACCATACACTTTTACCCATTGTTGCAAGAACCCAATGACGATTAGGTAGATATCAACTAGAAGCATGTACTTAATGGTTATAAAGCTTATTTTAACACAAAAAGAATAAAGCACTAGTCGAAAAGCAGCAATCAAATATAAATAGACCACAATATTAAAATTCAAATTAAAAACTATATAAAAGACAAATACTCTAAAAGTGCAAAAGATCAGAACCAAATAAAATGAATAACCATAATAACCTAAAAATCACAATAAAATTGCAAAAACTATTACTGTAAAATCATGAGATTACATCAATAATGCATATGCGTCGGAGTACAGTGTTTCCATGAAAATTTAGCTATATGTTTTTAGCAGTATTATAGGATCATTTCTACCACGCGCATCCAACGATATTGGCATTCCACAGTTCACTGTATTTTCCTCACACCTCTAGTATAAATGATTTGACATAACGAAACTAACAATAATTATAATTAATGTATAAGTGATTCGTGAATTCTAAATAAAACAATTATTACATAAAAGTGTAAAAGGAAATGTAATTTATTTCCCTATTTTCTTCTGTAATATCTTCAATTATTATGTTTAATTTCTATAAATAAACCAACTGGTTAGGTGAAACATTGTGATATAAGATTTTATTTATGTGTCCTATGCATACACTTTAATATACAAAACACCTGGAACATTCTTTAAATAACTGTGGTCGTAGAAATAATTGTGTACATAACTCGTTTGAAAGTGTATTTTATGCACTTGCTAAATATATTATCCATACAGATTAATCAGACTATTTTTTTACTTAACTTCAGTACAACTCTTACTACTAAAATTATTTTTATCAATGGAAAAAAAGGGCCGTGTTCTCGTATGTTTTGACGCATTTTCGGCCTCAGTCCATCGGATCCCCCCTCTAAATATATATGAATTTTGCTTAGAATTGCTAATCCTACAATTCTCTATTCGTGCTTGCTGACTGGGAAAATAAATACTGAAAATCGTCACTGTCTCCTGGACTATACAATAGATGATGATGAGAACTTCACAACAAATACACTTTTATGAATGGCTAGTTGGGGATGTGGTTGTGCTAGATTTATATTGAAATAGTCCACTCTACAAACGTAGCTATCATATAAGCTACCAATTATAGATAATATTTAACCTTTCAATCTCTAATACCAGTGTCAAAAGCAGCAAACTTTATAAAAAAGTTTCAGTCTTGTAAAAAATGATATAGAGGTAGGTATCCTGTCAATAAATATTTAATTAAAGTTATATCTATACCAGCATAGTCTGCAATTTCAGCACCACCATGTCCATCATAAACAGCGAAAAATGCAGCACTTGGATCATCTGGCAAGGATAAAATGTGGGTATGAGAATCTTCCATATTTATTCTCCATCCTTGCATACAACTTGAACCAACTCTGTAAGAAGAATCTTGACAGCAAGCAGTGTCTTTTGCAGTAACAGGTTCGGATAATGTTTGACCCATTTTACTGAAAAAAGATATTTAAATAATTCTCTTGTATGTTTAATATAGGACAATAAAATATTGATAACTTTTTTTTAAGATCTCTTATCTAAATTTTACATCTTATATTTACCTAGTATTTACTTGACTTTTAGGCAGAATCAGTTTAAACCATTTTTTTTAAATTACAAGAAATTACAAATGAAAAATTACAATAAATTAGTACACAAAATAGAACTGCAAATAAATATATTAAATTTTTTATATTTTATAGGTTAAAATGATCAAATGATTAATTTTGACTGTGACTTGTCAAAAATCAGTTGTACCAACATGCACGGAACATGTAAAAATTCCAAACAAAATGGTTGGACAGATTATGATATGGCAACCCTGTGAATATGTTGATTTGAACCCCCAGGATAGCTATTCACTAAGTCATGGGAGCGCTCCCATGGGAGTGCTCCCATATATGTTGCTCTCTTACTCTTGGGTGGGTATATCGTGCTTACTCATTTTTAGCCCAGGGGACCTATTTTCAAACCGTGTGAGTACTCATTTCTCTCAAGATAAATAAACCGAGAGAAACAGTCAGTGAGTTCACACTGGCCCTAAGAGCCCTAAAAATACTGTTTTACGTTGACGTATGACATTTCTCTTGATGGAAATGAATTCTCTCGAGTTTGAAAATAGCCCCCCAGGGGACCTATTTTCAAACCGTGTGAGTACTCATTTCTCTCAAGATTCTCATCAGAAATGTCATACGTCAATGTGGAAACGCTGTTTTTAAAGGCCTCGAGGATTAAAATTCTTAGGAGGATATTAATTATCTCTAAATAAACCGTGAGAAACAATCAGTGAGTTTACACTGGCCCTTAGGACCCTAAGAATACTGTTTTACGTTGACGTATGACATTTCTCTCGAGAGAAATGAATTCTCTCGACTTTGAAAATAGCACCCCAGGGTATCTATTCTTGAATCTCAGGGAGCAGAACGTTTTAGGGAAGAATGAGACAAAAATACAAATTTTATGCGTTACAGATAAAGAGGAAAATCGGTTTTGTATTCCCTCGAATTCAAGAATAGCTACCCAGGAGTGAATTACACTCGACGATGTGTATAAGGAATAAGGAGGAAGTAAATTAGGGTAAATAAGGTGGTGTAACTGGTGTAATTTACACTGGTGGAAACTGCACCAACAACGAACGAAAGAACCTAATAACTACTAGAGGGAGTTGGAAACGAGTTTGTAGTACAGTGACTTTAATAAAGTCACTGTAGTTTGTAGGCAATTAACACACCGACCTTTATATTAAACTGCTACAATGTGCTACACTCCTAATTTCTAAGCAGACAGACTGTCAATTTCGAGCATTGTTACGTTTCCCACAGGCGTACTACGACAAATTATAATATTTTTTATTAATAACGCGCTATTTTAATAATTATTATTATTAGGACATTTGTTTCAGCTGCATATGAATCAAAAATCATTTTTAAGAATTTTTTTTAAATTAAAAGGTGTCGTAGTTGAATGTAATCAGTGTTAAATTTATTTTTGATGATCCTTTTTAATGCATTTCGATACGCACATGTGGGCGCCAAAGTGTCAAATATCACCTCGCTATGCGGCTTGATTTTGTTGATCGGCTTTGTTCTTCCAGACTTCCAGTGTTCGCAACATATGTAGAGGAAGTGAGGAGGCGTGCACAAGGGGGAAGGTAAACACCATGGAGGAAAGATTATTAAGAGTTGCCGTTTCTTTGTAGAAATTTGGCAACATGTTTGCTTGCAACGACCTGTGGGGTGGAGGAGTAGAACTAATCTTACTCTGTCGGTAATGTAGTTACCAGCAGTATTACCATCAACTCTTACTCTGTCGGTAATGCAGTTACCCGTAATTTTATATTTAATTTGAAAATTGGCGGGTTTTTTAAAGGAGAATTTACTTTTGCAATTATTTTCTAACTAATACGAAATATAGCCATACAAAATTTTGATAGTATTTTTTTTTATTTTTTAGTGAAATAAAAAACATGTACGTGTAGCTCAAATATGTTCCTCTGGAGCCACTTTCTCAAAATTTAATTAAATTTTGATGGCAATAAATCGCAAAATTTTGTTTTTATAAAGATTTCAAAAATTGACAAAATAAATAAATCAAATTTCAGAATAGTGGCTCCAGAAAAACAGACATTTCACTTATACCTGAAGGTATATATTTTTCATTCACTAAAAAGTAAAATTAAACTATAGAAATATTTGTGGCTCTATTTCGTATTGTTTAGAAAAAGATAATTGCTTGAGTAAATTTTCCTCTTAATTATAATTAAAATTTTCCTTTTTTATTAGCTGTTTGTAACAATTATGAAATGCCCAATAAAAATGTAAAATTCTATGACAAATAATTATGAGGGATAAAATAAATATCATACAAAGTTTTATATAATTATATTTACTAAAAATTCCCAAGAAAAATAAATAAAAATATCAGAGATGGCAATACAAAAAAATATTTTTCATGCACTTCACCCCCATACAAGCGAGCTTATGCAAAGTAAGAATGTCTATTATTATTATTATTTACTATGGCGTTCCCGGACGTCTTATAAATGATTCTTTAAGAAAGTTACTCTAATATCACAAACATTACATTACTATTTCGGTACGTTAACTATCTTTGGCTAACAAAAATCAGAAATTGCATAACAAATAATTAATTTACTTGATATGAAAACTAATGCCTAAGTAAATAAATTTTTAAAATAAACAAAAAACAAAACAACAAATTCTTCTTGAATCTTAGGAAATCAGACAAAAGCAACCATCCATATAAACTGAAACAGAAAAAAATTAAATGCAGTAACTTCAAATCATTTTGTTTGTCTTTTAGACATTGCAGCAGCCCTCATACTATCATTATAATACTTTCTTATTATTAATAGTAGACAAGTTTCAACTAAATGAGAAAAGACGTATGTTTTATGTTCTTTATATGTAAACCAGAGATGGCTTGTGGCCTAGTCTGTGAGGAAGCTGGCTCATCCTATATACTTTATACAAATATACAGGGTGGCTCACGCTCAACGGGACGGAGCTTTATGGGAAAACGACCAAAGATATAAAAAATTCGTTTGGGAGGAATACATAGGTTACAGACGGCTACAATTTAAAATTTGTTAGATGTATACAGGATGTCCCACATAAGAAAAAAAAAATTAGTTCATTAAAAATTATTCAAACAAGAGTAAACAATTAATTTCTGGGAGACTTTTTTTCCTTAAAAATTCAAATAAATCGAAAACTAATAATAATAGTAATAGGGAACCTTTAGTTAACTGACATTATTTTTGATGTAGTTTTTAATTCTAAAATAAAAAACAGGGTGTTCCATTACAAATAATATAACTTTGTATATTTTCTCTTATGTGGGACATCCTGTATACATCTAACAAATTTTAAATTGTAGCCGTCTGTAACCTACGTATTCCTCCCAAACGAATTTTTTATATCTTTGGTCGTTTTCCCATAAAGCTCCGTCCCGTTGAGCGTGAGCCACCCTGTATATTTCTGCTTTTTGAATTCTTATAGACATATATTTTTATTAAGTATATAGGGTGTGCCTTTTAAAAGTAGTCTCCTCATAGACTAGGCCACGAGTCGCCTCTGATCTAAACCATTTAAAATCAACATGGTCTGGCAAAAAAGTTTAATTTTTTGAATGTTGTCAATATGACCCAAAAGTTGTGAAACTATTTCAAGAATTTTTGAAAGAAATACAATATTTCTTTGTACATAAATAAAACGTCTTTTATCATAATTTTCTTCAAAATAAATAAAAGTATCGATGGTCTTCTAACATGTCTGTAAATTAACTTTACACTCTTTGCAGTCAAAACTATTAAGTTTCTTAATAAACCCTGCAACATAACTAGTGGCCTGACTCAAATTCTGCTTCATTTTTTAATTTTATATATATTATTAAAATGAACTTTATCCTCACAGGACTCTGTTTGGAGGTGTGATAACAATATTACTAAGTACTACCTACTATCTTTGGTGTATCTGGTTTTGAGGATGCTAAAGCAAGGTAAAGCAAATCTTTTAGCAGTCTTGAACGATTTGTGTTTGTAAACAATTTTGTATCAAAATATGATTTTCACATAATGTATAATGATTGGGGTTGTAAGTGGAATGTTTAAAATACGACACCATTCCGTTCTTTGATCAATATCAAAAGGAAATTTAAAAATGTTTGTTCTTAAAATTTACGTTTGGAATGGGCCCTATAAAATGTTCTATAACCATTAGAAATTATGCGTTTATAATGAATTCTGCCTGATACAGACATGTTAAAGCATCAAAATACCTTTACTTGATTTTAAATAATCCTAAATAACTTATATCTAAAAAAATAAAAGTAGTTCCACTCACATGTTTTCTTCGACAACCAAATCATGACATAACCACACATTTGTTTGATTTTGATGTTATTTGTTGACAGCGCGCGCGGGGCCCGCGGGCAGCCAGCAGTCATGCAGCGGACAGAAAGCCATCTTCACATAGTACAAATAACTAAGTGAAGGTATGTTTTTTTTAGTTTGTTGTAATATATGAATTAAAATTTTTGAAACAACACTTTTTGTGTGTTACTGAACGAGATGTTATTAAATTAATCAATGTGCTTTACATTTTAATACAATTTTGCTATTGTAAAACGGACTTCAGAGCACCCAAGCGCGGAGGAGTATGCGCAGAAACGTGTTTACGTATTGTGCATATGATATAAACCCCCGTGGTAAACACCCTTCTTGTTCAGTGGCGTATCATTTCTCTGTAAGAACATATACATTGTCCAAACTTTTTAATTAAAAAAACTAAAAAAATTTGCTAATTTTACTACTTTTAAAATATATACCGTCTTATATGTGTCTGATGCAGGAAATTAAACAAAATCATGTAAAGGTTTGTTTGTCAATCAAAGAATAAAACCTCAAAATCAATTTTATTATAAATAAATACAGGAGCGAATAGCTTTAGCCTCATAGGGACATCTACAGGCCTGTAATACAATAATCTTTAATTTTTATGGATCCATCCCAATAAACAGTTTATTGGCACCGTAACTGGGCCGAAGGAGGCTTGTCGGATGCCGGACTCGGCCCGATATACGGGTACAGCCCTGTGGTATAGGTAGGGCATGTCTGCCCAGCCGAATGTCGGCAGTTCACTAAATTGTAGCCGCGTTCATATATCTATACATAATTCGGCCCGTAAGGATACCTCCCATGCACAGCTAGCCAAATATTAACCGCGTTCGGCTCGTAAGGATCCTTCCCATATCTAGAAAACCAAATATGAACCATATGCAGCAATCCGACTACTCGGCTTCCCGTACATGGTCGGTGTCAGGCCGAGAGAATGGGAAATTGTAGCGTTACAGCATCGTAGATTTAAAGCTGTGAAAATAAAAGAGCACAAACGTAACTAAAAATAGGAAAAACGGGTACGGAATCTACAAGAGAAGAGGTAAGCATAAGCAATTACGAATACATTTAAATTGATTTGATTCTATTTTAGATATACACAGGTTGCACCCTCTTAGGTAAATATTTCGACGAGTATAAAGGTGATGACCAACGGAAGTAACGAACAGCGCTAATTCGCCAGTTGGTTACCTTACTATGTTGATTTCACATATACTTTGTTTCAAACCTTGCAGCATATAGGTGTCCCCCATTGAGCTAACGAACAGTGTATTCACCACTTGATTAACTTACTGTTAAATTTTACCATCTTGGTTTGTACAATTTATCCAAGATAGCACATCCACGAGGGTGTAGAAAAACCTTTTAAAATAGTTATCATAGGTAATTGGTAAACAAATAAACCAACATAGTCGCATATTTCGTATATTTAATTGTAGAAAACGTTAAAAATAAATAAATCATTTCTGATATGAAACATTGTATTGAATTGAATATGTACCTAAAAATTTCACAATGTTCACAAAACCAAAAAAATAACACTCTAACATTGGCATAATTTTTAACAGAAACACAATTATACATGACATAATTACAAATTAACAATTACAAAATAACACAATGTAATTTAGATTTACAGCATATCTAGAAGAATCAAAAGTTGATTTGTAAGAAAGCTCAAAAATTACAACTCAATTTTAATAAATAATTCAATTTTGATATGTTTAAAGATACAGGGTGACCAAGTATATTTGAAACAATTTATATAACTTAAAAAAATTATTTGAAATGTCAAAAATTAACATCTTTAAAAATATTATATATTTAACTAATTTTATGTATATTTTTAGATATTGAGAACATTTATTTTTCCCCTTTCTAACATTTAGAATAAAAAAAAATAGAAAAGACTTAATAATTGTGTTACAGTAAATGGCCAGCACTTTTAACAGTCATTGAACTATAATTTTTGTATAACTTTCTTCGTTTTAGTTATTTGAAAGAAATATACAAAAATAAAACTCTTACTAGCTCTATACTACATTTTTAAGTAAGGAAAAAGAAAATACCTTTTGAATATTTAAAAAATATACATAGTGTTAAATTAATTATCACATAAAAATACAATTTTTTAAAGATGTTGAATGAAAATCTCAAATACTAAGTCTTTGAAACGGTTTCAAATATATTTAGTCATCCTGTATCATTATTTGGTTTTCAGGATAAAATAACAAAAAAAGGCGGGATATAAAGGATAATAATAATAACTCTTCTACGACAGTCTGTATAACAAATGTTCCAAATCAGAAAGTTAAAAAACGTAAAAGAAAAAATCTCAAATGAAAGAAATAACAATAATAAGAAGTCGTTAGGAAAACATAGACAATGTAACTGTTTTTATTTAGTAGATCTTCAAATTTTTTCAAGATTCAAAATACAATCAATCCTAGGTATTTACAATTATACATGCCACAGTTCCACAGTCACAAAAACCTTCATTTTTTTTTATTTCAATTAGTCAAAAAATAAATTATTTTATAGTTAGACACTACTTTTGAATCATGCAAGATAACTGTAAGTGTCCTTTTGGCCATCAGTTCTCTCCAGGTACTCCTTTTCTATTAGAATGTCTATACATTTCTGCAACAAAAGAATTTTCTAATATCAACAAAAGAATTTTAAATAATCATATGTGAGCGGTTTATAATTTCACTAACAGCTCGAAGTAATATTAAAAATATATACAATTAAAAAAATCCCTTTTGTGGGGTAATTAGAAGTGCAAAATGGATGAATAATACAGTGAGTTTCATAAATATATTCAAGATTCTTAAAATTAGAAAATATAAAAAGAAGTCGCCGATTTTTAGCTCAAATACTTTAAAAAAATCCAATAAAATTATCGATTTTATATTAGGCTTATCTTTTTCTAAGGGTCAATCTTTTCTCCAATGAGTAAAAATACACGTTGGGTTATTTAACAGATTGGTGAACAATAGCCTATAGTTTAATCAGCAAGTAGTTACTTTCAACTTTACTCAAAGGTGAAATGACTGGCCCTAAGTGGACAAAAAAGGATCAAAGTTCCTTAGTGCTGACATAAAATTTTAGAATTATTACTTGTTAAAAACTATAGTCTACATAAGAAAGGACTGTAGTAATTTAATTTTCAGAACGTGGTACAGGTTCAAGAAGTACGACATTTTATTTATAGCTCATCCTTTAATGCTTATTTGTAGTTAAAATTAACATTTTAATACATCTAATCGGCTTGATAAAAGTTTTGGTTTAGATTTAATCATGTTTCCATGGTTTTTACTGTAATAAAACTTTTCTTCTGACAGATAAGTCAGACTTTATTTATTCATAGCTGTATCGTATGCATTTTAATTAATTCGGAATTTTGTATTAGAATATATTATAATTTTAGTTATAAAAGAATGGCGAGTGCATTAGAAAATATTGCAAGCATAAGTATGCGTAAACGACTTAGTGGACATAAAGCATTATCTTTAGAAAAAGAAAATGTACTTAATGTATTTAATAATCTTCGAAAAGACTTTGTTTCAGTTTCTGTGGATGAAATAACCAATAAATGTGAGACCTATAGTGGAGTATCTAAGCAGACAGTGTATTGGTTATTGGAGAAGTCTTACATCCATAAAAGCCCCCCGGAAGAAACAAGACCTTTATTGAAACTTGGGTAAAGAATGTAATAAAGCAAATAATACATTCTTTTCTCTTTCGAAATGAAATTCCTACACTTAAAAATTGTGACTCAGAAATAGAAAATAGCCCTACTCTTCCAAATATAACATGGGTTAATGCTCGACATAAACTAACAAAAATTTGGCAAGATACCTCTATCAAAACTAAAAAACAAGTCTTTATGTAAGGGGTCTTTTAAAGATTAAAAAATCCAACAGGAAAAGGAAATCTTTTAATTATAACCCACATTGGAAACACTGATGGATTTTTGCTAGATAGTTTATTAATGTTCAAGTAAGAGAAAAAAAAAGACTACCATGAAGAAATGGATGGCCCTGTTTGAAAATTAGTTTCAGAACATTATAAAACACATTCCAGCAAACTGCGTTATTGTGTTGGATAATGCCTATCATAGTGTAGTGCCAGTCAATCGGAATTATGATTTCTGTGGGGGGGCTGAGTGTCACAAGCTAAATTGTTAATTTATTGAAAACTAATATTTTGGAGATTTTAAAACCAAAGATAATCCAAAAATTAGACCGTGCAAAAAGGGCACTATTTTCGAAAAACGAGATATTGGTACCATTGCATAGAGCGTAACGTGAAAAAGTCACTTTACAAGTTAGGTTAATGTATTATTTTGAATATTTAAAAAACCATTGGGGCTTACGATTCAAAAAAATTAAAATTACGATTTCCTTGGTTTTATCTTAAGAAAAAATTGCGAAAAATGTTGTACTTATTATGTTAACACTACGAAATTAGTTAAACAAGATTTTAAAACAAAAAAAAAATACTCTTTATAAAAGTTTCTAAAAGGCGTTTCAGATCATAACAAAACATCAACCATACTTTTATGTCTTATAATAATCAACTTATGTTAATTAATATGAAACAATTCAATTAAAACGGCTGCCGCGAGTGATCTACACTCGACTAGCGGTGTTATCGCTTTGTAGAGTACATCTTAGTTGCACCTATGATTGTAAACATATCTATCTCTATCGCACTACGAAACTAGCCCGGCTCATAATATTATCACCACAACAGGCAAACAATCTTAATTGAAAAAAATTATGGATTTTATAATTGAAGCGCTCGGGGGAAAATAGTAATAAGCCACATTTTATTTAAATACAGCTTTTTTATATAAAATGTTTACTTGAAAGAGTAACAATTAAGTCACAGGAAACTTACTTATAGCTATTCATTGATAAATGGCGCCACTATAACATAGTTACCTTTTTGAGGCATTCCAAAACAACTGCATTTTTTATAACAAGAATATAACAAGCTGCATAATTTCAACATGTGATGAAAGAATCGGGAATGTCGACAGTGAAGATGAAAGCCCCGAAAAATTTTAAAACTTATACATTTCACAATGTTTTGATTATTTTTCATCTATTTTAAAATAAAAGTATATCTAAATAATTTAGCCAAAAAAAAAAAAAAAAATAACAAGCCATATTTTTTAAGGTTTTTGATTTTTTTTTTGAAAACTATAATTCTTAATTTCTTGGTATATATTTTAATTAAACAATAAAACTGTTTGTACAGAAAATAAATTAAACAGATATTTCTTAAGGTCAAATTTCAGGATTTGATTAAAAGCTTTAAGTAGACTTATCTCAAAATTAAATGAATGTGGCTTATTACTATTTTCCCTCGAGCGCTTCAATTGTAAGCCAAAAAGTTCATATTAACATGTAAACATTGATCAAAATTCGATCAAAAGTCAAGAGATGTAAAAGTTAGATAACTAATTAAAAAACCAAGAAAATATTAAATATCACAAGTGGCGTGCAACTGAAAATTTATCATTTCTATCAATTTTGAACCACCAGTAACTTTGCTAATTATGGAAATCGGACCATTCTAAATATACCGGATGTATTAATCAACATTTTAACTTCACTGATTAATAAATCCTTTGAAATTGGTCTCTTTCCTAACTGTCTAAAAACAGCTATAATAATCCCACTTCATAAAGGTGGCGACAAAACCAAAACCTGTAACTATAGACCTATCGCGTTATTGCCTACCTTATCGAAGATAGTAGAACGGCTAATGAAAAACCGTCTTTTGCCCTTTCTTTTCAAGCATAACATCCTCACAGCTCATCAGTATGGCTTTCTACCTAAAAAATGCACTAGCGACGCAATGTTTTCCGTTCTTAATGAAATATACACATCACTTAATGATAAACTTTTCACCGCTTCAGTATTTTGTGACTTCGCAAAGGCCTTCGATTGTGTAAATCATGATATTTTAATTAATAAGTTACAAATTTATGGCATACGGGGTTCTCCTTTACAATGGTTTAAAACTTACCTAGAAAATAGAAATCAACAGGTGCGGGCGAATGGTGAGGATTCTACAAATCTAGCAATAAGCAGTGGAGTACCTCAAGGATCAGTATTAGGTCCAATTTTGTTTTTATTATTCATCAACGACATCACAGACTTAAGAATAAGTGGTAGAATTACTTTATTTGCTGATGACACCAGTGTAACCTGGAATAATTCTAACATGCAGACATTACAATCTATCATAAGTGAAGATCTAGTGACTATTAAGTCCTGGTCTGATTCGAATGGACTTTGTTTCAACACCAGTAAAACTGTAGCATTGTCTTACAGAGGTACTTTACAACCTATAACTTTAAACAATAATCTGATCCAAACGGTGACTTCAATCAAGTTTTTAGGTCTTTATATAGACGATTCTCTAAAATGGTCTGCTCATATAGATACCTTAGCAAAAAAATTATCCTCCGCATGTTTTGCCATTAAATCGGTTTCTAAAGAGCTGACTCCTTCTACTGCATTAATAACCTACTTTTCCTTATTCGAATCTCACCTTCGCTATGGTTTACCTTTCTGGGGTTCTTGTAGCTTATACCTTTTCGAATCTATTTTTAAACTGCAAAAAAGAGCAATCCGCTATGTATTTGGTTTAAGTAGTAGGACACATTGCGAAAATTACTTCAAAAATTTCAAAATTCTAACCCTTCCTGCTCTATTTATTTTCGAATCCGTCTGCTTAGTTCGCAAGCACATTCAAAATTTATCCGAAAGACCGACTCGTAGATATCCTACAAGAAATTTAGAGACAGATGTTTATTTAACAATGCCCACTTCTGACCTATTAAAACATTCCATTGCCTACAATGCCAAAAAATTGTATAATAACCTTCCGATGCAATTAAAATCTATAAATACATACGATAAGTTCCGAAGACTGGCTAAAGCTTTTCTTCTAGAAAGACCATATTACACAGTAGCAGAATTTTATAACGTACCTTAGACATTTGAGTTCCACATACAATGGCATTAATTAAATAATTAAATATTAAAGTTTAAATTTAAAAATTAAATTAGAATAATTATAATGACGGATATTGCATATCCATTGCAATTGTTATTCCTATTTTGTCTGTTTGTTTCTGTTTGTTTTTTCTGCTGTTTAGTTATTTTTTATAATATGTTTAGTATTTAAGTTACACGCTTTGTCTATAAAATTTTTGTAATTTTTTTTACGACAATAAAGCATATCTCTCTCTCTCTCATTGTTAATATGAACCTTTTTGCTTAAAATTATAAGATCTTTAACCTGTCTAAGTTTTATATAATTTAGGATACTCTGTATATAAGAAATAGGGATCTTAAATAAATTTATTATTAGTAATAATACCTATTAAATATTGCTGGGACCTTTAAGTCTCAGCATAAACTATAATGCATACATACTTACGCCTCTAAATCCCAGTGTACACTGTAGTGCACATATCAAAACTCTAAAATAAAAAAATAGGAACATGGGACAAAAACTAAAAATCACAAAATACATTAATTAACTATTATGCCAAATTTCAAATTTTTTACTGTTAAACAAAAAAGTCGGGATCGAAAGGGTTAAACTAAATCAAAAGAGAAGTGAAGATTCCAAAAATCGGTAAATCTTAAAGAGGTCAGCGAAGCATCGGAAGACGAAGAGAAAATATAACACGATTATTATACAAAATTGTAAATTGTAGTTTTTCTAATAAAAAATATGAATATCCATGCTCTTTAATTAAAGAAATATAATTGTTAAATTTGAGGGAGGGCTTTTTCAGTGTTATTTTTCCATTCTAATTTTACTCATGACACAATAATTTTGTTTAATATTTAATAGGTATTACAATACAATACAATTATACAAAATGGAGTTAATTTTAAGCAAAAAGGTTTATCTTAACAATGGTCCGATTTCCATCAGTAGCAAAGTTACTGGTGGTTCAAAATTAATAGGAATGATACATTTTTAGCTGCACGCCACTTAATTTAATATTTTCTTGGTTTTTAAGTTACTTTTTTATTTTAAAATCTTGTTTAGCTACTTTCGTAGTGTTAACATAAAAAGTACATTTTTTGCAATTTTTTTCTTAAGGTAAAACCGAGGAAATCATATTATTAATTTTTTTGGTGCATATGCCCCAATGGTTTTTTAAATGTTTAAAATAATACATTTACCTAACTTGTAAAGTGACTTTTCGGATATTGTAGTACACATTATGCTCTATGCATGGTACTAATATCTCGTTTTTTGAAAATAGTGCCGTCTATTTTTGGATTTCCTCAGGTTTTAGAGTCTCTAAAATATTAGTTTTCAATTCACTAACAATTCAGCTTGTAACACTTAGTAGCCTACAAAATGTCTAAAGCAGTTTTATTACAAATAGCGCCATACTATCACAGTTGATAAAAGGAATCATTACTTACAACAAAATGGAAAAAAGATGTTTCAAAATGGCTTTATTTTAAAAATATTATAAGTCCTCCTAAATCCTTGAAGGCAGAATTACTCGTAATATAAAAACTAAATCCCATTGAACAGATTTGGTCACAATTAAAAGGTTATGTTTCTCGAAACAATACATTTAAATTACCTGATGTGTGAAATTTGTTTTTGAAGGCGGTTTCAGATGTAAATGGAAAACATTGGAGAAGATGTAACGATCATGTTAAAAAAGTGGAAAATTTTTAACATGTTTTCACGAGCTGTTTCTTATATATGCAGAGGTGTTAGGAATAAATTAAAAATTATTGGTACAATAATAAGTACCTATGTTATCAAATTGTTTTTTTTTTGTGTCATCGGCGTCGACTACCACGGCCATTAGCCTCGTGTTCTGTGTAGGCTTTGTTACTGTTTCCCAACGCCACTTTGGGAACAGCACTGTTAATTAGAACCCAACAGTGAATGGTCGAGTGGGGAATCCTACCTATGCATTAGAATTAATATTTAATTTTTTAATTAAATAAAAATTCCTGCCACCGGTGGGATTCGATCCTGAGACCTTCCGATCTCAGAGTCATGACTCTAACCACTGAGCCAACCCACCCCCAGATCAAATTGTTATTTTTTAAATTAGTTACCTTAATAATATGGACTCTTGGTTTAAACCTAGAAGAAAGCTGATTTAGAACCTCAGCAACTAACTGTTGGTGCTTCAAAACTTTTCTCATTTTCATAATTCGAACAATTGCAGCTTGAATCAATAATTTTCTATCCTCTTCTATGTGCTTGTGAGTAGTTTCTTGTTCCATTTTTAATTCCGTTTTCATTGGAATATTAATATTAACACGAAGTTTTTTACTACAAAAAAAAAATAGTATTAAAATTAAATATTTTACCCAAAAATGTTAATTTTTTTTTACTTTTTGTATCCTAAATTCAAAGTAACCGTCGAATTTAAAGTAAGATCATTCTCGTCATCTTCACAATTGAGTAACTTAGCCTTAAGTAATATTTGAATAACTTGTATTAGAAAATCGTTCTTTATTTGTGTATTCTCTTCCAGCTGAGCAATGGTCCAGCTGTCGGCAACGTTGTACTGCAGCAATACCGCCATTTGGAAAGTACTAGCTTGTAAAGTATACCTATAAATAAAAATAAGTTTATTCCTAGTGGCCAAATGCCCCCGGTTTAGATGTAAGAAACAATTTTTTAAATGGTGTTATCAGTACCCATTAAATCTGAATATTCTGCGCTGGCACCTTTACTTTTATACATAGTCAAATAAAAACAAACCAAACAAAAAATATTTTGTATCACTTGAAAATAACTTCCTTTCATTTCTTTATCTACCAGTGTGTGCACACACCTACAGCTTTTGATTACCTTTGTTTTTTGTTTAATTTGGCTAAAAGTCATGGTTCAATTGATAAAATTAATGGATCCTTCACCACATCACTAGTGCAAGTATCTTAGATAATAGATACAAATTAGCAAATTGTAAATCTGATGGGTAATAAAATATAAAAAAACGATTACTTACCTAATTTTAAAACAATTTGTGTTGAGCTCTCCTTTAGACATATTGTAAAGCCAATTCAACTTTCTACCAGAATGTTGACCTGAGTAAAAATTCGTAAACCTATGTACACTTCTCTCCAACTAAAACAAAAAAAAGAAAAACACATTTTTAATCATTAATTTATAGCTGTTTAGTAAACTAACTAACCTCAGAAGGTAAACCAAAAGTAAATGATTGCTGGAACGGCCAAGAACCTGAAGACAATACTTGAATACTAAAATCTATTCCTAAGGATTCGTTTGATTTAACAAGGTGATTCCTAAATTGTTCATTCAAATCTTTCGATACTCCAATATCCTAAAAAAAAATTCTTACAGAACGTAATACTTATAAATTGTGGATGAACGTACTTGGAACATTCGCTGCAGCTTTGAAGTGTATTCGAATCCGCAAGCTTGTTTGAGTTTGGAGATCATCGATGCCTCGGCGTCATCGCTGGCCGACATGTGTTGCACTAGCCTTTTAGCCAACATCTTACTGTAAAACTTCTGAAATACGTCCTTATCTTCTATGTATTTGAACACAACCATCTACAAGAAATCAGCATAGTAAAATTAAACAGTGTCAAACATCCTGTGATATACGGGGATTCCTCAAGGTAGCGTATTGGGTCCTCTTTTCTTATTTTATACATCAATGATATTGAACTTTTATATTAATAAACTAAACTTAAATATAATGAAAACAAAAGCAATGGTTTTTATAACGAAATTTAAATATAGTTTTATCAATGTTAAAAACTTAATTTGACTGACTTAAGTGTTAGTGTTTATTTTTAAAATGATTTTTATATTTGTTTTTTTTTGTAATGAGAATTTACTTATAAATAAATAATTATTGACTTTTATCTTACCACTTGATTTAATGTATCTTCGAGCTCGGCCTCTTCGGCATTTTTATTTGATTTCTTCAACAACAGATCACAGTATTTGGCAAGCAACTCGGGCGATTTGCTACTAGAATTGGCTTGTTTAGTAACGGCATTGGCGTTGATGAACCTACCGCAGGCCTTGTCTAATGCAGCAACGAAACCGCTGTCGTTACTGAACGCGACCAACACTAGCGCATTGTATTTCTTGTGTACTTCTAGAATGGTGTTCACGTAAACCTTGGGATCCTGAAAATCATACATACAATTAAAGAAGGGAATAATTCCAACTCGAATGTAAGCAAGATATTAAATAACATAGAAATAAAAGTGTACAGGCTATAAGTTTTATTTCTATTTTATTTTATATACAATTAAGATTCTTGAGTTAGACCCTGACTAAAAATATGGAAACAATGTTTATCGTGGTCTCCACATATTTTTAGTTATTTAGTGCGGATATAGAAAGTCTTTTTTGTTGAAATTATGTGTGTACATTCATAAAACTGTAAGTGCATATTGTGATTAATTTCTACTTCAGTTTAGCTAATATGCGTTAATTAAATTTACAAATATATCTTCCCAATCTCAAAGTCAATCTAAAGTTTCAAAAACTTATTCTTCAGCTGTGTCACAGACTCAATTCCCGTCCAAAGAACAAGCAATTGTTTTTAGTTTAGACAATACACGGCTGCAAGATTACCTAATTCCCCTTGGATCCCAAATCCAACCAAAGAATATCATATTCTCTTCACGATTATCCAACAACCAGATTTGTATGTACCTGACAAACAAGCAGATTGTTGATGAATTCATGGATAATAGCGGTTATATTGAGATAAAAGGTGAAATAGTTAAAGCCAGAAGACTTATAACACCGGCTGTGAGACTCGTTCTGTCAAATGTTTGCCTCACTATACCGCACAATTTAATAATAGAAAAATTACAGAAAGTTGGTTTAAATCTACTTTCACCTGTAACTTTTTTTAAAAATTAGCTCTTCTCTACCTGAATATAGTCACATACTGAGTTTTAGAAGACAAGTCTACGTGAGTCCACATAATTTTTCTCTACCTGATTCATTCACACTGGACTTTTATGACACCACATATCGAATATTTCTGTCTCAAGATGGTATGGTTTGCTACAATAGTAAAAAACCTGGACATATCGTATCCCAGTGTCCCGAATCCACATATGCATCGCTATCCACTCAAACAAACACAATACCACAAACTACTACTCCAACTGTACCGTCTGTATCCAGTATGCCGATTGTCTCGGCTAATATAAAGATACCTTCTCACCCTATAACACTGTAGAGAACTTAACGAATTTATAGTGGGAAAAAAAGAACACTCCCCCTCTTGCAAATGCTTTTATTGATACTAGTCCATATAATAACCAAATTGAAAAATTTCAGAAATTACCCATATATGAAATTGAATTCAAAATTCTAATATCTAAACCAACCATTATTATTCCGAAATACTCAGATATTGCAAGCCTTACGAAAACTATCTTTAAATCCGTACTCAGTAATTTGGGAGATAATTTAACTACTATTTATACAGATCGATCGAAAAATGGTTTAGGACCTGGCTGTGCATTTCTTGTTCCAGACACTAATTATATAGAATCATTTAAATTACCCTGCTTCTGTTCTATATTCACAGCTGAAGCAGTGGCGATTCTAAAAGCCTTAGATTGGTGCAAGGCAAATTCATTTCAGAATATAGTTATAGTGTTTGACTCCCAATCAGTTCTGCAGGCTATTGATAGCCCTTCCATAAGTCAAAACAAAAACGCGGTAATATTACCCATTAAGAAAATTATATTTGACCTTAAACAGTGTAGCGTTAAAGTTTCCTTGGTTTGGGTTAAAGGACATTGTGGCATTGCAGGAAATGAACATGTGGATAGGGCTGCTAAAGAAGCATGTAGTTTAGAACAAATTACATTATTTTGTAGTTTTATAGATATTATTAGCATTTATAAAAAAGATGTAAGAAATAGATGGGAAATTAAATACACTGAGCATGCGAAGGCATCACAAAGTCACTATTATAGTAAACATATTCCTTACATCAGTTCATGGAACTATAATAAATATCAGTCATCTATAATTACTCGTTTGAAGCTCAATCACGGCCGATTCCCTGCACATTTATGTAAAATTGGAATATTGGATTCTCCCTTTTGTCCATATTGCAATATAAACGCTGTAGCAGATATCAATCATTTATTTTTAGATTGTAATAAAAATGCTCAACATGTATTATATTATCAAGATTTAAATAAACTTTCACTCCTACTTCCACTCAATATTTCTTCACTTTTTGTTCAATCAAGTAAGATAATTTTTGACGCTATTATTAAATTTACTTAAAATACTAAAATAGATATTTAACATAATATATATGAAAATTATTAAGTTTAAACTTTCTGTGGTAAATAGGCTTCCATGTCTGATGCCATCCCAATAATAAAAAAAAAAAATACTGCAAACCAATATCCTACCCTTATCTATTCAATCAACGACCGTTTCAGCGAATATACAGCAATAAGCATCCTCAGAAAACTCAACACAAGAAGCCATCACTCAACCTTTCTAAGACAAAACTTAAATCTAAAAAAAAACGAAGTCCAACTCTTCACCTCCAACAGTTGTCTCGAGTAATACCAATCTACATCGACTGCAGCCAGCCAAAGACTTTATCATTAACCACTCTCTTCCTTTTATACTTAATTATGACCAACTTCAGTTACTTTTAACTAATGTAACTGGTTCTTCAGATCCTATCAACGTTGTCCAAGATTATACTTCAGATACGATAGCCGTGACACACATGTTATCAAAAATCTACCCCCATATAAAAGATACATCCCTGAAGAGAAAATGCACAACTTTGAAACGAAAAATCTTTCCCTATCTTGGCAATGACGTCTCGGAATCAGATAGTGACACATCACATCTAAGTCAGTAAAGATACTAACATCTAATTATTTAATATTTAACAGAATTCAAAACATTACTTCAGTGGAATATCGATGGATTCTTTCATCGACTTGCAATGTTACAAATCCTCATAGGCGAACATTCCCCTGACATAATCTGCATCCAAGAAACCAATCTAAATCCACAGAAAAATTATAATTCAAAGCGCCATCATTGTTTTCGAAAAGACAGAACAACCAATGCAAATTTTTCTTCCGCAGGAGATCAAAAATTCGCTTGAAGCAAAGGTATTTCCTGTTACCAGCAATCTTGAAGCCATTGTTGTCGAAATCTCTGCATCTACTCCACACTATATTTGTAATATTTACCTTCCCTCAAGCTCTTCAGCAACGTTTAATGACTTGAAAGGCCTTATGGACCAAATACCATCTTCCCACGTAATTATAAGAGATTTCAACGTGCATAATATTGTCTGGGGCTCCTCGATTACTGATGTCAAAGGCAAAACAATAGAAAAACTCATCTCACATTGCCAACTGAATTTTCTTAATGATGGATCACTAACTAGGTTTAACATAAACACTGGAGAATCATCAGCAATTGACCTAAGTTTTTGTGATCCTGCCTCAACACCACGGTTGTCTTGGGAAGTTCTCCAATGTACTTATGGTAGCGACCATCACCCTATTTTAATTAAAAATAATTCTAGCCACCCGGTCGATACGTTCTTGCCAAAATGGAAACTTAATTCGGCGAATTGGTCTAGCTTTAAGAGTTACATAGATAATGAAATACAAATCTGCATAATACGCAACAATATCGACGAATCTCTGTCGAACTTCAACAAAATTATTTTGGAAGCCGCTGATTTATTTATTGGAAAAACTAAAATTGTGAAAAACCATGTTCCTGTAACTTGGTGGAATACAAACTGCAAGAAAGCAAATAATAAAGCAAAAAGGACATCCTGGGCTCAACATGTCTCAGAAATAAACAGCTCAAGTCCTATCACTGAAGTCTGGAACATAATTAGAAAAATCTCAGGCCTAAAATACACTCCAAAAGCTATTGTCCTTCCTCTTCTAAAAAATCAGAAACCTCATTTACAGACCCATAAGTTTAACGTGCTCCATGAGTAAGCTACTAGAAAAAACAATCAACCATAGACTCATGTGGACTTTGGAAAATTCTAGCCACTTAATCTCCGAGCAAAACGGTTTTAGACAAAACCGATCTGGGATCGATAATATTTTGGATCTAGAAAGCGAAATTCACGAATCTCTAGCAACAAAACAAACTTGTATAGCAATATTTTTCGACATAAAAAGAGCCTTTAACACCTGCTGGAGATTTAACATTCTAAGAAAACTTCACTCGTGGAATATTCGTGGCAACCGTCTTGCTTTTATCAAAACTTTTCTGAAGGATAGATCATTTTGTTAAAAGAGTAAATAATTCCTTTTCGGAAAATTAAAACGAAGACAATGGAACTCCACAAGGGTCAATAATTAGTCCTACACTGTTTCTGGTCGCTATAAATGAAATAATAAAAAGCTTAACAACACCTTTAGAAGCACGCTTATATGCTGATGACCTGGTAAACTATATTAAAGGAAAAATGTGGATATCATGTCAACTTTTCTGCAAAACTTTTTGATGAAATTGGAACAATGGTCTCCTGATACAGGATTTATTTTTTCCGTGACAAAAACTGTTGGAATTGTATTCTCCAAGAAAATTTCTGTTATCTTTCTAGTTTTACAGTTATTTAACCAAAATATATCTTCCAAACCATCAGTAAAGTTCTTGGGAATGTGGTTCGACCAAAAGCTAACCTGGAAAGAACACATAAAACATTTAACCCTCTGCTGTCATAAGAGACTAAACATAATGAAGATTCTGGCAAACAGAAACTGAGGCTCAGACTATCATACCTTACTATCCATTTATAAAACTTTAATAAGATCAAAGATTGACTACAGGTCTATTGCATATGGATCAGCCAGCAAAACCACTTTGAAACTGTTAGACACTGTACACAATGCTACTCTTCGTATTTCTATGGGAGCGTTTCGCACTTCCCCTATTGAAAGTATCTACTCTGAAACTGGAGAACCATACCTGCACTATCGGAGAATGTATATCATTATGATATGCTACTTCGATAGCCTCTAATAGAAATAAGCCACTTTTCAATAATACCTTCACTAAAAAATATATTAATTACTTTAGCAATAAGCATCAAAACCTTATTATAAGCGAATTCGAAGTTATCTTAGTCACCTAGAGATTGACTTTCCAGAAGTCTTTCCATTCGATCTTGACCGTCGTCCTCCCTGGATCATTAAAATTCCTCAAACCAACATGGACCTCTGCCAATATAATAAACATGAAATTCCCTCAAGTATTATAAAAGGCAATCTTAATAATATTTTAGACAAATATCAAGACTATCAAAAGTGTTTTACTGGTGCTTCTAAAGATGACACTGGTGTTGGGGCAGCATTTGTAACACTTCAGGATAAATTCTTTTTCAAACTTCCGTCAACCTCTAGCATTTTCACCACTGAACTCTTCGCTATTTACAAATCTATTCAACATTTAAATAGATCAAATTTTTCCATAAGCTTAATATTCTCAGACTATCTTAGTACAATACTAGCATTGCAACATATATACCCAAAAACCCCCATTGAAAAAATGATAAAGTCCGAACTACTGCAGGCTCAAGAACACTCAAGATGCATACACATCATTTGGATACCCTCCCACATCGGAATTGAAGGCAACGAGACAGCAGATCAGTGTGCGCGTAAAATCAAATTGTAAATAAATAAATAACATTATTAGATATGAACTTATCTGTCTAATAACCAATCTAAAGTAAACCGATTCTGGGCATAATCAAAGCATCAGGGGGATATACCTTATAGGGTGTCGTTTTTTTTTTTACTTTAAGGAATATCTGTTATTTACGATTGGAGAAAAAATTCTTTAAATAAAATTTGTTTACGATATCATTCTCTTTAATTTTTGTTCTATACACGATTTTTCTAAAATGGTCCGTATTCGAGAAATTTGGTGTAAAGTGCAAAATTCGAATTTTAAAGAAGACTCAAAAACGGTTAAAAAGAAAAACACCAAATTTTAAACTTAAGCTTTAATCCATCCTGCGGTGAACTGATTAGATTTTGGGCATAGCCGGAAAATCTGGAGGGTACTTTATAGAGGGTCGTTTTTCTACTTTATGGAATATATCTGTTAATTACGCTTGGAGAAGAAAATTCTTTAAATAAAAGTTGTTTGTGATGTTATTCTCTATAATTTTTGTCATATACATAATTTTCCTAAAATGGGCCGTATTCGAGAATTTTGACAAAAAGTGAAAAATTCGAATTTTTAAGAAAATTGTTCAACTAAAAGTTGCTTGTGATGTAATTCTCTATAATTTTTGTTCTATACATGTTCTCTCTAAAATGGACCGTATTCGAGATATTTCAGAAAAAGTGCAAATTTCGAAGATAACTTAAAAACGGATAAACATCAAATTTTAAACTTAGGCTTTAATCCATCCTTCGGTGAGCTGATTAAATTTTAGGCATAATCGAAGCATCTGGGGATACGTTATAGGATTTTATACTTTAAGGAATATTTCTGTAATTCACGATTGGAGAAGAAAATTCTTCAAATAAAAGTTGTTTGCAATATCATTCTCTATAATTTTTGTTTTATACATGATTTCTCTAAAATGGGCCGTATTCGAGAATTTTGACAAAAAGTGAAAAATTCGAATTTTTAAGAAAATTGTTCAAGTAAAAGTTGCTTGTGATGAAATTCTCTATAATTTTTGTTTTATACATGATTTCTCTAAAATGGACCGTAATGGAAAAATTTGAAAAAAAGTGTAAAATTTTAATTTTTCAGTGTTTTCATTGGCAAAACTTTCAAACATTCCAGTGTTATTAATTTTAAAGTATTTTAAACTTACATTGAGAGCACTCTCTCCTCTACGCTCGATAGCAGCTAGACCTTGCGCAGCTATGTGTTGTTCGAGCAAAGTTCTCAACTCGCCCAGTCCGTCCGGTATTCGCGCCACCAAACTGTACATCCTACCCAAGTCGGCATCCTTGTCGTCGTCTAATAGCTGTTGGAATTCAGAATGAAACAGTTCCAAATGTTTCTGGATCAAAACTCTTTCGCAAGTTTTCGCTAAACGTTCACTGGTAGTTTCGTGAAGGTAAACTTGCACTCTCTTTTGTTCTTCCAAGAGCCTTTGTTCCGCCTATAATAGGAATAACTATTTACATGCGAGAATAAACAATATTAAGCAATGAAAACAATAATAATTATACTATTACCAATATTTTCATTAAATCGAAAAATCAAGAGGACTAATTTCAAATTTACTACATACCCTTTTCATATATTCAGTAACCGGGTTTTCTGCCAGAAAAGACGTGCTCTCTCTTGTATAAAATCGTTCGGTGTCTTCGAGAAACACGTTTTCGAAACTATCTTTGTAGACACAAAGGTTTGGTCCTTTTGCTCCCGGTTCCTCTTCATTGAGACCCAACTCTACGTAACAATTTATAACCCCCGATACCAGACGAGTGTTTATTGTCTCGCCGTTTCTTTCTTTTTCTATTAATTTGAGTACTGCATTGGTAACCTTAAAAAAACGTATATTTTATTGTTTAATGTGAATATACTATTGTTTTATATAAAAAAATATTCTGATTATTTTGTAATATTAATCGTTAAAGAAATAACTTCAAATTCCTCAGGTAACCTAGATGTTCTTATGTTATATAACCTGGCCAATGATATTTAATATCACAAATGCTTATTTTGTACCTTTCCAATTGTTTCTAAATATACTTGAGGCTTTAAATCCAAACTGACACTTAGAAAGAAGAATTGTATGCTTTGACATGCATGAATATTTCCTAATTTACAAACATTTTAGATCATTTCATATATTATTATTTTAAACTGACAAAAAACAGTATAAAATGGTTGTGTACTCATATTGTATTTATTTAAAAATGCTTACTGCCTTATTTAACTGCTTGAACAAATGATCCCTCCAAGTAACAAGCGCCAATTGATATATCTCATAGATACCTTTTCTTCCTTCTTCGCATTCTCTTTTTACCCAATGTCTATTCAAATAGGCGCAGACGCCATCCAAAACCTTACTGCAAAATTGATAGTCTTCCCATTGATTAGTGTAAAATTTAAGCACGTCTTCGTCCATGCGATGCAGTCCATCCTGTAGAAATTTTTTAATAAATCAAACAAAATTATATTAACCATCGATCTTAAAAAATATAAAGTCGAGATATATATCTATCGTGGGTAGGCAAAGTAGTATAAGTCAAAAATTTAGAAGATGAGTAAATTTTTATTATATGTTATTTAGATTATTCCTTAAATTATTTTTCCCAAAGTTTTTTCATTGGAAAGGGGCTACCTGATTAAGAAGCACTAACCATTTGTTTAGTAAATTTACAATAAGTTAAATTATTTATTTAAAACAAACTTTCTCAATGTCCCTCGAGTGGAATTAAGAAGATTAAGGATTGATGACAATAGAATTTTTTTTTAAAAAATAGAGAACTATTAAGATTTTTCTAAACTTTAAAATTTGGTGGAATGACACAGTGCACACTGCAACTAATGATATGGTTAAGGCTTATAAAAATCATGTATCAAATAATAGGGATCAAAATAAAGAATTATATAAACAAAAACAAAAAAATTGTTAGAAATGAAAAGAGAAAATATTATGACTCTTAAATTAGAATATAATGAATGAACTGTTAAAAATTATAAACAAAAGCTGTTCAAGATAAATTAAAAGATTCATATGATGTAGATCTGACAAAAATGACAAGACCCAGAATGAAAATCTGCAATTTTATGGAGAATATGACCAAGGAAGAAATTGACAAGTCCATTGTGAAACAAAATGACATAACAGGTGAAATTAAAACCACATATATACATATATCAGAAAAAAACGAAATAAGGCTTCAATACTGTATACTGTGAATGTTCAGGAAAAAAAAAATATATATATATATATATATAGGATGGGAAAGACTTCCGGTTTAAGAAGATTTGGAGATAATCAGATGTTTTAAATGTCAAGGTTTCTACCATAAAAAAGAAAACTGAAAGAATGCAATCGTGTGCCACATCTGTAGTGAAGAACATGAAGCTAGCTTGTATCCAAAAAATAAAATACACTGTAAGAACTGTAAAACTTCTAACGAAAACTATAAAACATTACGACTACAACCATTCTGCATTGGGTTTGAGTTGTCACTCTTTGAAATATCATCAAATGGTATTGCAAAATAAAACCGAGTATACAGATCAATAACATAACGTAACTAATATTTGTACACACATTCAAATAGTTTATGATTATTAATCAAGAAAGTAATCTATTAGATTCTATTCAAATTGATTCGATTAATGAAGTCTTTGATGCTGCTAATATAACAAATAAAATTAATTAAAATGAAAAACTCCTAAATGTCTTACATTTCAATATTAGGAGCATTAAAAAGAATTTTGATGAGTTGTTAGTATTTCTAGAAAGTTATAAAATTAATTATTGTGATATAATAGTTTTGACTGAATGTTTCCAATTAGAATATATTTAACAATTTAACCTAGATGGCTTCACCACCCACTATAACAATGGTAACATTAACAGAAATGATGGTAATTTTGGTCAAATCTAAATGCAGAATTAAATATAGTTAAACTGGAATATTCTGATATTTGTGTCACTAAAATAAATCTAAAAGTCAATCATCGGACGATTGGCATTACAGGTGTATACAGGTCTCCTCAAGCATTTATAAGGGATTTAGAAAATTTCATACCAAATCATCTAAATATTGAAATATTCATAGGGGACATTAATATTGATCTCCTAAATGTAACCAATCAGTAACTACTGATTACAAAGTAACTTTTTACTCCCATGGATTCATGTCTTACATAAACACTATTACGAGGCCACAGAGTAAAACATGCTTGGATCATATATTCTTAAAAAACAATATTAAGAATCTATCGGTGAACTCTTATGTAATCAGCTATGATATGACTGATCATGATCCTATTATGATAAATATCTCACAATCTGCCAAACACTACACAAGTTCCTACAATACATATAAAACTATAACTAAAATCGATACTGATAAATTAAAACAAAAATTCGAAACTGTAAACTGGGAAAGTGTTTGCAATGAAAATAATCCAGAAATTGCAACACAACTTTTTTATGACACGTATCTTAATATCATTGAAACATGTCAAACCACTCAAAATATTAAAATTAAAATCCTTAAAAAAATAAAGCCATGGATAACAAATGGTTTAATTAATTCTATTAAAACTAGGGATAAACTTAAAAAAGATCTACAAAAAAATTATACTATTAACAAACAAACTCACTATAAAACATTTAAAAATAATTTAAACAAACTAATATCAAAAACTAAAAATGACTATTATAACAATAAAATAAACCAAAACAAAAATGATCTGAAAAAAACTTTTAATCTCTGAAGCAACTAATGAAAATCATAAAAAAAATAATACCAATTTACAGATTGTTAACCAACATAATGAGGAATTTGAAAATGATAATGAAATGGTGAATTACTGCAATAACTACTTTTCGACTATTGGCACTAATATGTTCACAAATATCCCTGAATGTAATGTGGATTTTCCTGTGTCACTGAAAAATCAATGTTTCTGAAAACGATATTATAAAACACAAATAGTTTAAAAAACAATAGTGTCCAGGGATTTGATTGTATAACAGTAAAACATCTGAAACTACTACATTCGTATTTACTGGAACCTTTAATGTATATAATTGTATGTAATGTATAGGAATCATACCTAAACAATTTAAAACTTCAATTATAACACCTATTTATAAAGCTGGTAATCCAAAATTAATAACTAACTATAGGCCTATTAGTTTAATTAGTAATATGGTCAAAATATTTGAGAAATGTGTGAAAGATAGATTGACAGATTTTTTTAAAAACTAATGACTTACTTCCCAAGTACCAATATGGCTTTACTGAGGGTCTTAACTCAGGAGATGCTATGAGTGAATTGATTTCATATGTTACTGATGGTAACAAGCTATATTTCTAGATCCAGCAAAATCATTTGACACGGTGCCACATCAGAAGCTCTTAAATGTTCTTGAACAGAATGGAGTGAGGGGCATTGTGTTGAAGGTTTTTGAAAATTATTTGACACACAGACAACAGAAGGTAAAGGTCAGAGATAATGTGAGTAACCCTGAAAATATACAAATCGGAGTGCCTCAAGGGACTGTTCTGGGACCTATACTATTTAATTTATATATTAAGAGCTTAACTCAGATTGATATTCAAGGTTGTATCATATGCTGATGATACAGTGCTAGTCTTCAGTGATAAAGATTGGGAAGCTGTCAAGACACGTGCTATAGCTGGAATGAAACATATCAAAAACAGGCTGGATGTTTTTAAATTGTCTTTGAATGTTAACAAAACAAACTACATTGCTTTTTCAAAGACAGTGGCTGATTGACCTCAATTTAGAAGCTTAACATTTCAAAATTTAGACATACAGGAAACTGAAACATCCAAATATTTAGGCATAATTATAGACCAGCACTTAAAATGGGACTGCCATATCTTTGTGTGTATATATATATACTTACTAATACTTAACATAAAAAACAGAAATCCCAACTATCAGATTATAGACACTCACACAATTATAACACATGCAATCACAAATATCTACAGTAATCTTTCTCTAGTCTCTCAGTTGAACAGAATTCCGAAATCTACAGAGGCGTTGCATGTTTTAATAGATATACTCAAGTCAATGGTAATTAAAAAATCTTCAATGTATTCAAAAATAAGCTTTATGCATATCTTTCTTCTAAAACATATTATTCCTATGCAAAATTTATGAATGATATTCAGTGATCCTTAATGGTATCTCTTTATTATAATTATTGTCTAATGTTTTTTGTCCTATAGTATACTATTTTTAATTTGTACTTTATTTTAAACTCAATTATAGCATGTCTCTACTTTTTTTAACCTTTTTAAAATATTGTAAATATGTCTCAAAGCTGAATAAATATTATTATAATAGCTAAGGTTAAAATTCAAATAGGGCAGTGTACTTACATCCTATTAATGTGTTATGTACAGTAGAAATTTTTTTAAAGAAGAGTATATTCAACCAATTTAATATCTGGAAGACAATAATATGTTTAATAGTTATCAATCAGGCTTTCAGGGTAAATACAGCTAAGGGACTGCATTACAATGTTTTGAGCCAATTAATTACTTTGCTAAATGATGACGTAGCTGTGTTCTTATTGTAATCAAGTAATCGAACCCTATATTAGAATATTTTACTATACTACTAGCTTTACTGGGCAGCTGTTTTGTTAAATAATGTTATTTCAGGTAAAAGGATATCATCATAAAATAAGTTCATGTAACAAATTCACAAATTTAAAATATGTTTTACCAATTTTAACTAATGTATGTAATATTGAATTGCTTACACTGAGTAATGTAACTAGGTAGTTTCTGAGAAATTCCCTCAATCTCTTATAGAGTTCTAATCCAACTAATTGGGCACCACCTCCAACTTGGTTCTTTTTGCTCTTCGAAGTGGTATTTGCAGAGGCACGACCATTATTTTGCTGGTGCACTGAAGTACAGTAGTTATAAACATGTGTGTATAACTGTATGTAACGTGACTTATGCATTGTCTCTCTATTATACACTTGCTGGATTCCAGCATGCAAATCTCCCCATATTTGATCTAAGTCGAACTGTCTTAAACCAGATGTGTTGTTTCCTATAACCAGGGAGCTCTTACTAGACATTTCCTTAACACTGCAGGATAAATCTTCACACTGAGGACAAAACAGAAAACGTTTCAAACTGTGGTCTGGTTGCACATCGCTACTAAAATAATCTTTATTCGCGCGTTACAAGTCTGAATGGCTCCGTATTTCCTGAAAAAAACCGATTTACCCTTTTTAGCGAATTGTGAAACTGATATATTTTCAAATGTCTTTCACCTTTTGTTTGTAGTGATGAAAATCATTATTTCATTTTTTTCATACTTACCATCTAATTATAACATAACAAAAATTTGTACAATATATACAACTATTGATTACAACGAAAAACTATAAATTTACAAAAAATAGGTAAGTTTTATTATTTTTTCCTTATTTCTTGAATTTCAGAATCACTAAAAATGACACATAACTGACAGCACACAGTTTCCTATGTTCTTTTCTTCTTTCGATAAATCTCTTCTCTTCATTTCTTTCATCGCTTTCACAAAACTACTCCGTTATTCTCTACACTTGTTTTACATTAACAGTAGACAGAGAAGATTATATACTGATATAATCAATGATATAACTTATATAGATTACTCGTCCATATATATAAATTAGACGACCCAAGGCGGGTTTCATTGGACGCAATTTTCTCTTTATCTAACACATGCAATGTTTCATATTTTGTCTCAATTCTTTTGGGTGTATTGACTTATAAACAAATCATTTACAGAACCGGTTTAGCAAATAAAATCTTTATAATTTTTTTTACAGATTTAAACAAATTTTATACGTATCTATATAGATACTATTTAGTAAATATTATTTTATATTGTTAAGGGCCATTTCCAACGCTAATCGTTAATAAATAAGCCAAGTTTAAAATGTAATTTTTAATGGAAAAATGTCATTTTAAACCTGGTTTTATTTTTTAACTAATAGCGGTGGAATTGGGCTTAATTAAAATTATTGTAGGATGTCAGAGCTGGGTAATTCCTTGTTAAAAAGTAATTAATAAATACAAATACTTTTTTCCATGTAATTTGCAATTGTATTTAAGTTATTTTTTAAAGTTATTTGGAATTGTAATTGCAACAAAATTTGTGGCGGAATTGTACTTTGTAATTATATTAGAAATAGAAATATTTTATTCCCGTAATCATATATAAACATGTTTACATAGCTAGTCGTCAGTACACATAAATGGTAAAATACACCACATTTTACATACATTAACATACAGCATACTCGTATAAAATTTAAAATAAAATAGGATTTTAAAAGATCATGGTTGATAATAGTAATAAAAAATATATAAAAAAATACTATATTAAAAATATTAGGTGACATATTTCACTCTTAGTGTTATATAGACACATGTAGTAATATCTTTTTAATTTGATGTTGAAACTTTTTTCCTGGTAGATTACTGTGGAGCGGAAGTGCAATTATAGAATGAAATGCTTACTGTTCGGGACTTGTTTATTCTAGTTCTCGTTTGGATTAGCCCTCGGTATGGTATGTATGATTGTCTGAGTGACATGTGAAGTTTCCCAAATTATTTTTTATGGCTAGCAAGTTTTCAAATACTATTTGCGAAAACAGGGTCATTATGCTAAGTTGCTTAAATAGTGGTCGGCATGGTTCATAATAATTTACCCGCAGAATAAAGCGAACTGCTGATTTTTGCAAGATAAAAAGTCTTTGTAGTGAAGTGAAACTAGCATTTCCCCAAGTTAGAATCCCATATGTTAAATTGGAATGGAATAAGCCATAATAAGTAGTTATTGCTGCTTCTGTATTAACTATATATTTGCGATATTCTACTAGTAGTTTGGTTCAACCTGAAGACACATATTTCAGTTTTATTGTGATTTAAAAATAATTCGTTACTATTAAACTATTGTTTAGCTTCAGTCATAATCTTAGAGTTTTTGAAAACTATGTCAGATGTGTTATATTGCAGTGATATGAGAAATTGGTATCATCTGCATACATGGTAGTTAGTAATTCGGCATTATTTGAATTCATATATGATAGAAGATCATTGGTATACATTAAAAATAATAGAGGGCCTAGTACGGATCCTTGTGGAACACCTCTTTTCATTAATAAAGATTTACTAAGTTTATTTCTGTAATATACACTTTGTTGTCTGTTTTGAAAATAAGAAGCAATCATCTTATTTGCAATGCCTCTAATGCCATATTTATCTAGTTTGTTGATTAACAATGTGTGACTTACACAGTAAAATGCTTTAGACAGATCAGTGATTATAGCTAGGCATTGTGATTTGTTTTCTAAAGACTCCTGAATCTGTAGTTGTTCTCCCATATCTAAAACCATATTGTCTCGCAGAAAACAGGTTTTGTTGTTTTCAAAGAAATGCACAATTTGTTTTACTATAACACTTTCAAGTATTTTAGAAAAACATGGTAAAATATGTATTTGGCGAAAATTTTCAGGTACTGAGTCATCTCCTTTTTTTGTGGCATGGTAGAACTTTGGACGTTTTAAAAATATCTGGAAAGGTACCTTCAGTTTATCAATTCAGTATTAGGAACAGCAATATTTTGGGCGCATTTTTTTAATAAATAGGTATTAATTTCATATTATATCTTGAGTTCTTTTTGATTTAATGTTTTGTATTATATCTATAGTGTCAGATTCAGTAAAAGGAGCTAAGAAAAGTGATTGATGTTTTCGGTTTTAACAAGTTAAGTCAATTTTATTTTTATTGTTATTGCGGATGCCTTCTACTATATCAAATGAATGATTTACAAAATACCTATTTATTAAAGGTTTCTATATCGATTTTAGATTCTACTTTATTATTATTATTATTATTACGTCCTGTTTTATTATTTATTATTAATTTGTTGAAGTAATTTATTTTGTTTTGCATTTTTTTAGCAATACATTGTATTTAGTTTTCTCTTGTTTATATAATTTTTTATTGTAGTCAGTTGGTTTGTTTTTAATGACGTCCTGTAAAAAAATAGATTAGTTCTTTATGTCTTTTTGTTTCATCTGTATTCATATAACTCAAGTTTTTATTACATTTTCTTTTAGGTTGGGATATATTTGAAATTGAGACATTAAATATTTCATAAATGTTTCATGAAGTGCTTCAGCTTTTTTATTTGCATTGGTTGCTTTTCTAATGTCATGCCAGGTTTTATTTTGCAGAAGATTATTAAGATTAATTATTTAATTTTGAGAGGAAGATCTAAAATGGGTTATATCTTCTAATATACATATATGGAGCGCTCATGATTTAGGAAAGTTAATAATTGAGGGTCATGGTCTGACTCTGTAGTCCCATGTGTAGTCCTTAACACGCGTGTCTGAGCAAAAGGAAAGTTAGCAAATATGTTGGCTGGATATGTTTGAGAGCTCTCTGTAATACGAGTATATGTAAATATTGTTTGTTCAAAATTAAACTGAAGTAACAAGTCGAAGAGTTGTCTTGTTCTAAAAATTTTACATTAAAATCCCCACATATAATGATTCTACTATTTTTGTGTTTAGCTTCTAATAGTAATAAGACATTTGTCAAAATTGTAAGAAATATTTCAAAATTAGAATATTGTGAATTGGACCTACATATAACAATGAGTACCAGATTAAGTTTTTTAATAAACTCTCCAGTTATTTCACAGTGGATTTCTTCTGACATATTCTTATTATATTATTTAAATTGTCCAAATACAATTACTTCTCAAAAGTACAGTTACGTTTTCAATTACAATTACTATTTCCAATTATAATTACATTTTTTTATGAACCATCTGTAGCTTAAAACGATTGATCCTACTACAAAAAGAAAAAGGTATCAATAATTTTTGACGAGAATTGATTTCCGCACCGAATGTAAATAAAATGTTTAATGTAAAACAGTTAAATATTTTATCTTTTTGACTAAACAGTCCCATAATAATGATGCCCGATTTGTATGAAGATTATATATAATATAAAAGTATACCTAAACCTAAGTACAATAACTATTGTATTTTTGTTCTGAATCAATTAACTTTTAAAAGCTCACATTTTATTATTAACTTCCCTGTTCAATGTTTATACCATTTGTTACTTGTTATGGATTTTGGCGTTTCAGTTAAGTTACGGAGACCTTAAATGGTATAGCAAACAATACGTTAGGGCTTAAAGTTAAGCTCAGTTTTAGGTAATACATGTCAATTTCCAATTCTGTATAGTCTAATATGTTTGGGGAAACGAGCTCTAAGTGCTAAATTGTGTTTAGACTGTACCTATGCCATACAAAATTTGTCATGAGTCATCTCAAGCCGATTTTAACTTTGTAATTGTATTTATTTTTTAAATGTAATTGCCCAGCTCTGACTGCAGTATTAAAACATTTTATAGTAATTTTAGACAGAAAATATTTTTTTTTCTCTCTACATACATTATTATTTTCTGAATTTCTAGGTAGCCAGATTTTCACAAGCTGACAAAATTATTCTCTCTCTCAAATCCGTTTCCCCTTTGTTTTATTGTTAATTCACCCAATTTTCTCTTAATATTTTTTGACAACATAAAAATACTCGTGTCTTAAAGATTTTAGGTTTTTTTATTTAGTCAAAGGTTAAAATTTGATTTTAAATCATACTTGGGCCATAACGGTTCTGTTCAGTATGGTCGCGCACAGTAACATTTTGCAGAGAGCAATCTATATAAATATTTATATAGCATTGGATAAAGCTAAACATGACTTATGTCAAAAGATAAAGTGCGTGACTTACTCCGAACCAATCCGAAATATATTAGTATCTTTATATAATTTACGATGAAAACGGAGATAACAAATCAGTTTTGTTTTATGACTCAAAAAAAAAACATAACTGTCAATGTCAACGACAAACCAAACGTGAAACAGGCAAAAAGCGGGAAATTGGGAGGAAAGAAAATATCAAATATATAATTACTGAGTATTCCGATTAAATATGGGTATTTTAAATTTATCGAAATTATTAGCTGATATAGCCCCCCAGGCACTAAAGGAACATGAACTCAAAACATATTTTGGTAAGTTGTAATGGATATTTAACAGTTTGTTTTATTGAATTTTTATTGAACAAATACAATATATAACGATACAATGTGGGAAATAAAATCCCTGTCGAGATCGTATACATATTTAAAGCCCGCAAGCTATCTTTATACCAGTTAAGTTACAAAATTGCTCAAGGTTTTGTTTGAAAAAGGTCATAAAATGATCTGGTTTGCTCCATTTTTTCTACTTAATCACCTGTTAAAATTATGTGTAGCACCAAAATATCCGAATACAACAATGTAGGTGCACTTATTATTTCTATTTCGATGAAACTTGCATACTTATAACTTTTTTCAGGTCGTAAAGTTGCTATTGATGCTTCTATGTGCCTTTATCAGTTTCTAATAGCAGTCCGAACGGAGGGAAACCAACTTACCTCTGCAGATGGAGAAACCACATCACATCTACTTGGTACATTCTATAGAACTATTCGCTTAATAGAAAACGGCATCAAACCAGTATACGTTTTTGATGGAAAACCTCCACAAATGAAATCAGGAGAGCTTAACAAAAGACACGAAAAGAGAGTCGAAGCACAAAAAGCATTAGAAAAAGCCACTGAAGCAGGTGATGTGGGGGAGATTGATAAATTTAATAAGAGACTTGTTAAAGTTACAAAACTTCACTCTGAAGAAGTAAAAAAGTTACTGAAAATGATGGGAGTACCTTATGTAGATGCACCTTGTGAGGCTGAAGCTCAGTGTGCAGCTTTGGTCAAGGCTGGGAAGGTATATGCAGCTGCAACGGAAGATATGGATGCATTAACATTTGGTTCAAAGGTAAATTAATAAATATTTTTATACATTTTCATTTTTGGGGTGAATGCATTTTGTAACAAATTGAAATAATTGTTTTATAGGTTCTTTTGAGACATTTGACTTTTAGTGAAGCTAGAAAAATGCCAATTCAAGAAATTCATTTAGACAAAGTTCTTGAAGGCTTAGAAGTGACTCAAAATGAAGTAAGTCAATACTAAAACATTTATCATTCATTTTTATCTTCAACCTTTTTTTTAGTTCATTGACCTGTGTATTCTGTTAGGATGTGATTATACAGACAGTATTAGGGGAATTGGACCAAAGAGAGGTTTAGAATTAATTAGAAAACATAAGAGCATTGAAAATATCCTTGAATCTATTGATACAGAAAAGTATCCGGTTCCTGAAAACTGGAATTTTAAAGGAGCTAGAGAACTTTTCCAGGAACCTGACATTGCTGATGCTGAAAATATCGAGGTAAAGTATGCAAGTATATGTAATTTGTTTTGGAGATGTTAAATAGTAGATATTGATTACTGAACCAATTGGAAAATACTTTAAATGTAACATCTATGCAGTATTTATTCTCATAAAGTAGCTCAGACAGTTCATTTATATAGATAATAAACAATAAGGGGCTAACACTGACCCCTGAGGTACCTCCATATTGTTTATCAGTTTCTGTGGGAAAAAGTGATTGGCTGAATCTTAATTGATTTGAGCCAGTAAGATTGAAACAAATCTTTTATAATAATTGTAGATGACATGGGGTGAACCAGATGAAGATGCCATGGTAAAATTTTTGTGCGAAGAAAAAAATTTCAGTGAAGAGAGAGTTAGAAATGGTTGTAAAAAACTCTTAAAGGCTAAAGGTGGCAGTGTCCAAGGAAGATTAGATGGATTCTTTACGGTCCTCTCTACTACCCCAGCTAAAAGGAAAGTGGAAGACAAGAAAAATACTCCAAACAAAAGAGGAAAGGGTACAAAAGGAAGAGGCAGAGGTCCAAAATAATGTTTTATGTACTATTTTATTACCATTTTACAGTAATCTCGGTAGGAATAAAAAAATGTGGAAAAACAGGGTGGCCACTTTTTGGAAAATTGTTAAATGTTGAGAGTTCAGAGATTTTTAATTAAAATCTAATGACTTAAAAGTTGAACTTGTCCATTATTAAGCATAATACTAATGCTAACTATAATTATAAATCGGTTGTAAATGGCTCCAAAGGCTCAAATAATAAAAAGAAGGGAGTATAAGTAGTAGACCCTAAAATTTGGGACTTTAGGATTTATATTTAAGAATTATTTGGTGTTTAAACTACTTTTGATCTAATGCAGATTATTTGCAAATATTGAAATATATTTAAAATTCAAAATTTATGTAAAATGGTTTACAATAGGAAAAAAATATCAGGTAAAAATTTAAAATTCAGGGAATTTCGGTGGCCATCCTATATCATGTTTTGTTAATATTTAACATTTAAAGTTTTAGAATATTTTCTTACCTTTTTTTTGGTTTTTTTGTTAAGATTTAAATTAAAAAAAAAAAAAAAAAAATTTGGATGTTTTATTTTTTATACCAGTACAAAATATAAAAAATTTCACAGTTATAGAAATATCACAATTATGAATAAAATACATACAAGCTACGTGAAAAATCATATTGCTAGTTTGTCGACTACATATTGAAGATGTAGATTTCTAGTAGCTTCACTTCTTCTCTTTAAATGGTTTTTAATTCTTATCTAAAAAATAAATAATAAAAATAATTAACGGCCCAAAAAATGTTTTGAATTTGTATTAATTTGCTATGATTGTATACAGGGTGTATCCATACGAAAAATGGACTAGCAAATAGTTTTGATTTTCTAATTGTTTTTATATTGTTATTTTTGTTCTATCACCATGTATATAAAAAAAACTATTGAAGGAAATATCAATAAAAAAAATAGAGAAAAGCTGTCAAAACTTTCTTGAAAGTCTCAAGCCGGTGTTAAGGTATTTCCAACACTTAGGGCGACCATATTAGCCGCTGGCTCCAGGTAGGAGTGCGTTCCATTCCTTTCATTGTGGCGATCGTGACAGGACAAGCGGTATGGAAAAATTGATAAAGGCGCTGGAAGTACAACGAACATCCTTTGAGAGAGTCTATGAGGAAACACTGAAGTTGATACAGCTTCAGTTCATGGCAATCTGCAGGTGTTGCAGCAGAAGATAGAAATTCTTAAGGATATAGATTGACAGTTATTGGAGAAGATGTTGAAGTCCGATATGGATGATGCTGAGATAGATTGGGAAGTAGAAAAGGTGGATGCCATTCTAGGGAAGTACAACAGGTTAAGGGCTAAGGTAGAATTCAATTATAATAAAGATTCTGTTTCAACAAATTCATTAAAGAAAAAACATTTAAAGCTACCAAAAATTGAGTTAAAAAGATTTGGGGGTAACCTCCCAGACAACACATCAAATCCCAGAGATATCCACAGAATATCTTTTGTGGATATCCAATATATCCACAGGATATCAGAAATATTCCGTGGATCTAATATGGATATCCAAATGTCCGTCTATATCCAGAATATAGAAGATATCCTATGGATTATCCAGCAAAATATCTAATGGGTATCTTCCAGACAATACGAGAAGTCCCAGAGATATCCACAGAATATATTTTGTGGATATCCAATATGGATATCCAGCCAAATGTCCGTCTATATCCCAGGATATAGAAGAATTCGGATATTCAGCAGAATATTTTATGGGTATCTTTAGTAGAGGTTCATAAAAGTAACCAATATTTATTGAATAACGTCGAAAGAAAATAGCAGAGAAAATATATTTTCAACACTCTGCCTTTGATTTTGCCCACTAAGAAGAAAGTCATCCTTATTAGGACTCTTCAGCAATAAATGGAAATTCTCGACTCCAGTCTCTAATGGAGTCTGATTGGGAAACAAATTTCGATCGAACTCAATTACGGCGAGTTAAGCATGAGAAGATGCGAAAGTGGTATCGCCATCTATACTTAGTAAGCAAAATCAAAAATTACATCTATTGGACATCCACGATGGTTTGCGTTCGCGCTTAGACTTTGATTATTTAGTGGATGTCCATGGGATATTGAATACACCTTAAAAAATTAATTTTAAATATCTGAACGGTACTATTAGCCACAATGGCGTAATTTTTTAATAATTTGCTATATAATTACTATTATTTATAGACATTTGCATGTCTATAAATTACATCTCATGGATATAAAATAGATATCCACCATGGACTGGACATTCAATAGATATTGGGATGTTCAGTAGATATCTAAAGGATTTGGAGTGCTGTCTGGGCTGAAGGATTGGTTATTATTTTGGGGCCAATTTAGACGTATTCACGAGGATACTGAAATTGAAATAGAAGACAAATTTCAATACCTCACACAGGCAACCAAACGTGGTTCCAGCGCTCGTAAAATCGTTGAAAGTTTTCCTCACACTTTTGAAAATTACCCAATAGTCATCGATACCCTCAAAACCCGTTTTGGTAGGGAAGATTTGTTGATTGAGGTTTATGTTCGGGAACTTTTGGGTTTAGTTGTAGCCAATATTAATTCCAACACGAAGAATTTAACTCATCTTTATGATAATTTAGACTCACATCTTACGATCTTTAGGAATTAGCTCAGATAAGTTTACTGCTATGTTGTTTCCATTGTTGGAATCATGTTTACCAGAAAATTTATTACAGATATGGTAACAGAACTTTAATGAAACTTTAGAGCCTATAAATCTAAAGCCCACTTATTGTACTTTCCCCTACAGAAGCTAAGCTGAACAAGATACAGAAGAGAAATATGAAGAAAGACGACAATAAGAACGAGATGCGGAAGAGAAAGTAGACCGCCCAAACGACTCTAGCCATTAAATTGATTGAGTCATCAGAGAAGACTCAAGGTGGGAGTGTTAAAAATGGACTAGCAAATAGTTTTGATTTTCTAATTGTTTTTATATTGTTGTAATTTTCATCATGTATATAAAAAAAAAACTGTTGAAGGAAATGTTACATAATTTGATTTTCTTTTACTATACGGAGAATGGTCGCACTGCGCAGCTTTCTGAGTGCCTTTTAAAAGGAGATAGAAAACTCCGCCATTTTGATCCCTTATTACGTGTTGCCTACATCTTGGCGCAATATTTTTAATAGGTGCGTTTTAATCATCCGTTTCTGCTTCGGAATTGTCGTTTTTCTTGTTTTAATATGACAGGTTAAAACGACTAAACCGACAATTCCGGACGCAGAAGCGGATGATTAAAACACACCTGATATTTTGCTTGTTGCTGTCAGTGTCAGTGAATATTATTTTTGGAGTCACAGTTTATTGCTAAAGAATCAGTTAGCTCACTCGGACCAGTTGAAAGTTCCAAAATAACATGGACTCCAAGTATAAAAAATCAGGATACGCAGAAGACTGCTGTTTTATTATAGGCGGTTGTCATATATTGTATTATCCGAGTTACGCATGTATAAACTGGAACATTGAGATCAAAAGTGCCGACGCAGAGTGAGCGATCTGATTCTTTAGCTATAAACTGTGGAATAGGAATCAAAATGGCCGCGCCCTATGTTGGGCGTGTCGGACCTTTTTCTTGCACCGTATAGTAAAGAAAATCAAAGTATGTGAGGAAATGTCAATAGAGACAAGCTGTCAACACTGTCTTGAAAGTCTCAAGCCAGTTTTAAGGTATTTCCAACCCTTAGGGCGACCATATTAGCCGCTGGCTCCAGGTAGGAGTGCGTTCCATTCTTTTCACACATTAATTACCCGTATTCTTATAAAATCTTTTTTTTTTTTTAATTTGTTTGCCATTCTCTATACCCAAATATATTTTTCTCAAGATTTTGAAGGCTTTATCAGGAAAATTTACATAATTTTCTGATTGGCTTTTAAACATATGAACTTATTTATAGTAGAAATAAGAAATAATGGATTTTTTATTATTTTAATATTATTTATTGTTTATTTTTGTTCCTGATCAACCGCCAACTAACGCTGGAGTAAAACAAAAGAGAAAAATTCAAATAAATTCTTACCATATAACTTTTATCGGCGTATCCATTTTTCATACTCAAGTGCCACAAATTGATCGCCAAAGTGTTAGTCGACTTGACACTTAAGTCGCTTCTAGTCACTATTTTAACAAATAATTCCGTTGCTATATGCGACTGTCTCCTACATTGGCCGAGATCTTGGAGCAGGGTTAATATTTCTCTAATTATTATTGAACACATATTGTTAACTTCGTTAATGAATTTTGGATCTGATCCGTACAGAGCGTCATTGGATTCAACTGAAAAGAAGTTATATTTACTGTATTTAAAGCAAAGTAAAGATGAATTTGTATTGGGAAACAGGAAAGACGTATAACATGTAAATACTTGATATGAAGCGGCATGCGGTCCCTGTCAAGTCATTTGAGGAAATACATGTTATTTAAACAACTCCGGCTAAATCTCTTGTTTAACTAATGGCGATCATTAAGGACCTTTAGTAATTATGTGGAAATTTATTTTATATCCATCTCTAAGACTTCGCCTTCCTAGTAACAAATTACCTATAAAACGTTTTTCTTTAAACTTCAATTTACCGCAGTTCATTACTAGAGCCACCTTTCCACACGTAATTCAATTTAGAAACGTTTTTATACAAACCTTTATCTACATGATATGGATATTCTTCTTTAGCTAAACTTGATAATAAATCGAGGACGCTGATATATAATATAGCTAAATTGCAGTTGAGCTTATTCCATTCTAACTGCCTAATAACGTTTAGTAAGGATTTCAGTAAGCCTACAACACCTCTATCAGGATTGTCGGGTACGACAAGCAGAGTGGATAATAACTTTTTGATGTAAGATTCGAGGAACAATTCTGATTTCGCGGAAGCGTCTTCTAGATTGGGTAGAATAGTTAAAATTGCTTTCAAACAAGCGTCAGCTAAAAATAAAAAGATATGCAAATGGGTTTGTGTAGAAAATATTTTTTTTTTTTGGCTTACCTTGACCTAAACATTGATTGAACAAAGCCACTTGTCCAGATAATAAATATAGTTCTAATCTAGTTTTTTCAGAAACTATCGAAGGTATTGTTATGAAACAATATGCTGCACAGGCTTGTACAAATTCGGCGGTTTTTCTATTATGCATTCCTTTCATGATTTGTCTGGTATTGACAGATAGAGTATTTACTTGCTAAAAAATGTTAAAAATTAAAAAATATTAAACCAAAAATAGTCAAAAATGATTTTTGAGCTTTTAAATTTCAAAAAAAAAAAAAATATTGTTGAAAAGCTCAGATTACTTGAAAATTCGTATCGAGCATCAAATTTATAAACTGTTAGAAGGGAAAATAAAAAGTAATGATTTATAATGAAAAATAAAGTAATGTGTCGCTATTTTCTGCAATTTCAAGATAAATTACATCAGCTGAGCTAAAAGAATTTAGTGTGCACATCTCTTACGAATTGAGCGAATTTCTTTTGTAATTGCGTACTGTAAAGCAGCTCTTATGGATTTTCAAATATCCAATTTTGGAAATATGAAAATATACGAGTATAATCCACAATTCCATTTAGAAAATTATGAAAAATGCATCCCCACATATCAAAATTGAAAACAAGCCAAAGATAAATTTAAAAAACTGAGATCGAATTTGAAACCTTTAGACTCGAGTCGCCCACGCCTCTATCAGGTAAGCTATCGAGAAACATGGCTTCGACAGTCGAACTCGCAGATTTGAAGTCAATCAGATTAAAAAAATTGAGTTAAAGCTTGTCTGAAAGATGACAACTGTATGTAGTGCAACTGAGGCACTACAACTTCCGATTTAGAACTGGGAAAAATTGATTTGTCCGACTTAGAACTCAGAAAAATAGATTATTTCGGTTTAGAACTAGGAATAATCGATTTTTCTGATTTTTAACTTGGAAAAAATAGATTATTTCAACTAAGAACTCGACAAAGGGAATTATTTCGACTTAGAACTCGGAAAAATAGATTATACCGATTTAGAACTCGGAAAAACCGATTTATTTGACTTACAACTCGAAAAAATAATTTATTCTGACTTAAAACTCGGAAAAATCGATTTATCTGACTTTTAACTGGGAAAAATAGATTTTTCCAATTTAAAACTTGGAAAAATAGATAAAACTCGGAAAACCCGATTTATTTGACTTAGAACTCGAAAAAGTAACTTATTCTGACTTAAAACTCGAAAAAATAGATTATTTCAACTTAGAACTTGAAAAAATATATTTGTTTTTGATTAAGTAGGTACTCGGAAAAATCTATTTTTCTGACAATACTCAGGAAAATATTCATTTTACTCAGAATTCGGAAAAATCGATTTATCTTACTTACCACTGAGAAAAATTGATTATTCCTACTTATGGCTCGGAATAATCGATTTTTCTGACTTTCTACTTAGAAAAATAGATTTTTCCAATTTAGAACTCGAAAAAATAGATTAGTCCGACATATAACTCGGAAAACCCAATTTTTCTGACCTAGAACCCGGAAAAACCAACTTTTCTGACCTAGAAGTCGGAAAAATAAATTATTCCAACTTAGAAAACGGAAAAATAGTTTATTCCGACTTAGGAAAATCGATATTTCTTTGCTTAGAACTCGGAAAATAAAATTATTTTGACTTAAAACCAAAATCAATTTATCTGACTTACAACTTTATTTCTTTTGTTGCAATTCTTTAATAAATAAAAACATACCATGTCATTGGGTTTTGACTCTTTAGAAATGTCTAAATCTATTTTTTCGAGTTCTCAGCCCGAATAATCTATATTTCCGAATTCTAAGCAAGAAAACTAGATATGTTCGAGTTAGAAGTAAACAAATATTTTTCCGAATTCTAAGTTGGAATAATCAATTTTTCCAAGTTCTAGGTCAAAAAAATAGATTTTTCCAGGTTCCAAGTAAAACAGAACAAATTTTTCCGTGTTACAAGACAAAAAATTTTTTTTTCCAAGTTCAAAGTCGGATTAATCTTTTTCCGAGATCAAAGTAAGAAAATTAGATATGTTCGAGTTAGAAAAAAATCTATTTTTACTAGATTTAAGTAAGAAAAATCGTTTTTTTTTTCGATTTCTACATTGGAATAATCTATTTTTCCGATTTCTAAGTTAGTATAATTTATTTTTTTCGACTTCTAGGTCAAAAAACTTTGTTTTTCCGAGTTGTAAGTCGGACTAATCTATTTTTTTCAAGTTTTAAGTCAGAAAAAGAGATTTTTCCGAGTACCTAGTAAAAAAAACAACTATTTTTCCGAGTTCCAAGTTGAAATAATCTATTTTTTCAAGTTCTAAATTGGAAAAATCAATTTTTCCGAGTTGAAAGTCAGAAAAATCAATTATTCCAAGTTCTAAGTAAGAATAATCAATTTTTCTTAGTTGTAAGTCAGATAAATCGATTTTTCCGAGTTGTGAGTCGGAATAAGTTGTTTTTTTCGAATTATAAGTTAGAAAAATCTATTTTCCCGACCTATAAATCTGAATAATCTATTTTTCCGAGTTTTAAGTCAAAAAATTGATTTATTTCGAGTTCTTGGTTAAAATAATCTATTTTGTCGAGTTGAAGTTCAGAAAAATCGATTATTCCGAGTTATAAGTAGGAATAATCAATATTTCTCAGTTGTAAGTCAGATAAATTGATTTTTCCGAGTTCTAAGTAAAACAAACAAATTTTTCCTGAATTCTAAGTCAGAAAAAGAGATTTTTCCGAGTACCTAGTAAAAAAAACAACTATTTTTCCGAGTTCCAAGTTGAAATAATCTATTTTTTCAAGTTCTAAATTGGAAAAATCAATTTTTCCGAGTTGAAAGTCAGAGAAATCAATTATTCCAAGTTCTAAGTAAGAATAATCAATTTTTCTTAGTTGTAAGTCAGATAAATCGATTTTTCCGAGTTGTGAGTCGGAATAAGTTGTTTTTTTCGAATTATAAGTTAGAAAAATCTATTTTCCCGACCTATAAATCTGAATAATCTATTTTTCCGAGTTTTAAGTCAAAAAATTGATTTATTTCGAGTTCTTGGTTAAAATAATCTATTTTGTCGAGTTGAAGTTCAGAAAAATCGATTATTCCGAGTTATAAGTAGGAATAATCAATATTTCTCAGTTGTAAGTCAGATAAATTGATTTTTCCGAGTTCTAAGTAAAACAAACAAATTTTTCCTGAATTCTAAGTCAGAAAAATAGATTTTTTTCGAGTACCCTATTCAAAAAAATTTATTTTTCCGAGTTCTAAGTTGACATAATCTATTTTTTTGAGTTCTAAATTGGAAAAATCAATTTTTCCGAGTTGAAAGTCAGATAAATCAATTATTCCGAGCTCTAAGTAGGAATAATAAATTTTTGTTAGTTATAAGTCAGATAAATCAATTTTTCCGAGTTATGACTCGGAATAATTTGTTTTTTTTCGAATTATAAGTTAGAAAAATCTATTTTCCCGACCTATAAATCTGAATAATCTATTTTTCCGAGTTTTAAGTTAAAAAATTGATTTATTTCGAGTTCTTGGTTAAAATAATCTATTTTGCCGAGTTAAAAGTCAGAAAAATCGATTATTGCAGTTATAAGTTGGAATAATCAATTTTTCTCAGTTGTAAATCAGATAAATTGATTTTTCCGAGTTGTGAGTCGGAATAATTTGTTTTTTTTCGAATTATAAGTTAGAAAAATCTATTTTTCCGACCTATAAATTTGGATAATCTATTTTTCCGAGTTTTAAGTAAAAAAAAAATCGATTTTTTCGAGTTATTAGTTAAAATAATCTATTTTTCCGAATTCTTAGTCAGAATAGTCTATATTTTCAGAGTTCTAAGTAAAAAAAATTCGATTTCTCCAAGTTCTAAGTCGAAAAGTAAAAAAAAATATATTATGCCGTTTCTACGGTTTTCTCCATGTAAGTCATTAAAAGGCTGTAGTCCTTTAATAAAAATTGTATTTTGTGCATTTACATTACTAGCTTGACGAATACGGTAGTATTATAATTATGATATTCAAAGTAATGGGACAATTTGTCATGTAAATATTGTAACATTTTAAAAGTCCAATTAAAAATGTTATTTTAAATATGTGCCATCCTGTATAAATAGTTTTCGATTAAATTAAATTATCGCCGCACACAATATTCCAAAGAAAGGGAAATTTCTTGAAGTAGAAGTACAGTTAACCAAACGATTTCGCATTAGATTTTTAAAATTCATTTACTATTTCTTTCTCTTCATATCTGGTGGTGTTTTGGCTGTAAAAGTGGTAAGCATAAAAAAGTATAATGTCGTTATAAAATATCTCGGTAAAAATAATATTCAAACTTTTTGTTAGTTATTAGTTTTTTTGATAGTAAAGTTAAATTTTTCTAAATATGTTTTTATGATTCATTCTGGTTGCTAGAACGGCACAATGTTTATAGTCATTAGTTATTGTATCTTTGTTCATTTTTAAAAAGTAGATGTTTCTAATTTAATTTATATCTCGTACAAAAGCCACGTGAAAAACAAAATCTATTTTTGTTTAGAAAACGAATGAATGTAGCTGTAAGCTAAACGCTGGAAATTAAAGCTGGAAAATTGATCGAGAAAAACTAACTGGTAAAAGCTGACAGTTAAAACTCACAAAAAGTTAAAAGAAAGAACGAGAACAAAGAAAAAGGTATGCTGTTCATGTTCGAGTAACCGAAATAGGCGTGGGTTCCCGATTTGCAGAAATTTCAACTACCTCCGAAAGAAGTTGTCAGCAAAAAGGCAAAAGTGGTAACTACTAGTGGCTAATTTTATGTATGACGAGATTAAAAATTAATACCTGATAAACTTTAAATGATTTGTTTCTGAACAGTTTTTTTTTTATTTAAATAAAATAGTTCATTTTTATAAGTATATATGTTGAATCTTATTTTTTAAAGGTTACAACAATTCTCTTTTACTCAAATTAAATTCTGTATAAGTTTTTATTAACTTCTTTTTTTGATAAAGCTAGAGTTTATAATTCTCACTAGCTTTTAAAAATAAAAAAAAGAGAATTATTGGTGCCCAACATTTCCTAGAAAATTATTACCCCAAAGGTGTCTATTAGAAAAGCCGAATTCACGACTGAGAAAAATATGGTCAATGTGCTCATTTATTTCTTTTAATTTTTAAAGGTAAGTAATGTTTGAAATTAAATTTCACTGAGCTAGTAAAAATCTCTTATAAGTGTTTTGAAATTAACATTTTATCATAAGGCAAATTTGCACTGAAACACAAAGCAATATTGCAATATGCGGGAAATTCATCAATTTTTATTTTATAAACAAATATTAATGTTGGGTGCAGAAAGTTATTTTTAATAGATAACCATGTTATATTGTAATGTATTAAGCATTAAAGTTAATATATCACAAGATAATATTACTATCATTCCTCTATTTTGCAATTTCTGTTATCTGCTAATTGGATTTTGGTTAAATAAATGCAATATAGTTCACTAGTAAGGGAAATGAGGTAAAATCAAAAGGAATAATAACCAATGATTTAGATATTTTTGTTTAGTTAGATAATTTAATTTTGAAAGTTATCGTTTTAATTATACAGGGTGTTATTGAAATACACGTACATATTAAAACTGGGTATTGCGCAGATCCCCACTGAATGTAGAAAAATATTATTTTTTAAAAATACCCCTTATTAAGGGAGTTATTAATTTTTGAAAATTAATTCTAAAACAAACGTACTTCACTGATATGTTGAGGATGACCTATATAAATTAGGTTTATTTATCTATTTTAAACATCAACAGTAATTAATATGCAAGTTTTTGTCAGATGATAAGAAAACTAGTCTTGTAAGAAATAACCATGTTGCCAAGATTTTCGAATTAATTTCTATTTCCGAAGACTGGTTTTTACTACCCTCGTTATCAAAAAACTAGAATATTTGATAAATGATTGTTTTTAAACTATACATTTTTGAAACTATAGATTATTAAAATTTTAGTTGATTTACGAATCTGGCTAACACGAGCGCGTCATTTCCAAGTTGGTAAAAAGTGTTGTTACGATTACTTTTAAATATTTTTTTACGATGCCACTATTTACGAATATTGAACTAACGGATATAGTGCTGGTTTATGGGACAGCTGGAGAAAATTCTCGGCAAGCACAAATCCTGTATCGCGAACGGTTTCCAAATCGGAGAATTCCGGACTGTCGTACGTTTATTTCAACTGTTCAGCATCTAAGAGACCATGGAAAATTTGAGAGTGTCAATGCAGATCGAGGGAGAACAAGAACACAAAGAACATTGGCGGCCGAAGAAGAAATATTGGAAGCTGTTGAAAACCGGCCTCAATTAAGTTGTAGAAGACTAGGTCTTGAAATTGGAGTGTCCTCATTTGTTGTGTGGCGGACACTTAAAGAACAAGGTTTACATCCTTATCACATCCAAAAAGTCCAGGCCTTATATCCAGGTGATGAAGAAAAGAGAGTGGAGTTTTGTGAATGGATGATTCAAAAATGTGTTGATATTCCTGATTTTCTAAAAATATTATTGTATACTGACGAGGCTTCATTCACTCGTGATGGCGTGTTCAATATGCACAATACGCATATTTGGAGTGATGAAAATCCTCACGCCATTAGGGAAACTGGGCATCAAAGAAAATTTTCAATAAATGTTTGGGCTGGCATAATAGATCAGTATTTAATCGGGCCTTATGTTCTCCCGAACAGATTAAATGGGCCAGGATATCTCCACTTTTTAGAAGATATTTTGCCAGTACTCCTAGAAGAGATACCGTTACAATTAAGGCAACGGATGTGGTACCTACTAGATGGCGCTCCTCCTCACTTTGATTTAAACGTACGGCAGTTTTTGAACATTAGATTTCCTCAAAAGTGGATAGGCAGAAATGGACCTACTAAGTGGCCTCCGAGATCTCCGGGCTTAAATCCATGCGATTTCTTTTTGTGGGGTCACATAAAACAACTGGTTTATAATGAACCTATTAATAGTGTTGAACAATTAACCAATAAAGTTAATGCGGTAGCCGAGGAACTACGACAAAATCCAAGACTAATTTCTAATGTTCAAAGTTCTTTGGAAAGACGATTGCAAGTGTGTGTAAATAATAATGGACGGCATTTTGAACAATTACTGTAATAAACTTTATTTTGAATTAATTGGTTTTGCTACGGCAACAGTGCAATTTCTATGGGTAAGTTCAATTTCGATTTATTTTACTTCTTTAAATATGGAAACTAGTAGGTCGGAAAAGGGGACTCTTCCCCAATATTTAAATTTTAGAATTTGAAGTTAAAATTGGTGCCAATCGTTTTTGGTCATTACATACTATTCCCCATTTTAATATGTACGTGTATTTCAATAACACCCTGTATATTTAGCATATTCTTTAAAAAAAACATCCTATCTATTATTACATCTAAATATTTATTTTTTTTTACTAATTCAATCTTTTTGTTTTTCTTATTTGTATTTTAAAATTATATTTATTGAAATCATTACTTATCGTCTTTTTGTTATTAATTTTTAATGCATTAAATTAGCATTATTTATAAACTAATTAAAAAATTTCGTTTATTTCAATAGAATAAAAAATTTACCTACTTGGACAAGCTCCGCCAAAACAATATCGATATTCGAGAACGCCGATCTAGCTTCAACGAAAAAATTCAACTGTTCTTCGAAGTCTCTTCCGTAGTTAACTTTTCTCATTACGTTGCACAATATTTCACCGATTTGCTTGTATTCGTCTTCTGGAGTCAAAGCATTTACCGAGTCGTGAAGAATGCCGCACAGGAACATTAATGCGTTAGTTATTACTGGATCGTTGGTTTTATATTGACCGTTGCAAGAGGTTAATATATTTTTACAGACCTCCACTTTTATCGATTCTTCGTGAAAAATATCGACTAGAGGAAGGAAATTGTCCTAAAAATTAAAAGAAAAACTCTTTATTTATATTTAATAATGATGGATTTAGAAGTAGTTACTTCATCAGCAGGCATACCCAAATGGATAATTTTTTAATAGGAAAACATGAAAATTGATAAATAAAATTTAAAGAAAATGATATTCCACTTGTTATTACAGCATTTATTTTTTTTTGCCTATTTCACCTCAATAATCATAAATGAAATTTTCTTGATATTGACTGACGTCAAAAAAAAAACGAGTTACAGTAAGTAATACAAATTAATAATTTTATTCGATCATATTCCTAAAATTAAGTTTTTTTTTCGTTAAAGTTAATTCAACTTACCATTATTAATAACATTTCAAAATCTTGAAATTGGCTCACTACCTTAGAAATGATAAGTTTCAAAACCGAATAATGTTTTTCAAAACTTCTATTAGGACTCATGTGTTCTATAATATCTCCTAATACAGTATTTAGTTCCCTACTCTGAAAACAAAAAAAGAAATTGTTTATAATAAAGCATACAGAAGAAATTAAATATAAATAGGTAAAGGCGGAAATTACTAATAAACAGTGAGAAGCTCTATAAATCAATTACTAGTGAAAATGTTTACATAAAAATAAGAAATTAAACATAAATCGGTAAAAGCGGAAAATTACTAATAAAGGGTCACAAGCTCTAAATCAATTAACAGTATAATTGAATCTAGTGATAATATTTACATAAAAATAAGAAATTAAATATAAATTAATAAAGCTGGAAATTACTAATAAACGTGAGAAGTTATAAATTAATTAACAGTATAATTAATATCCAGAATATATATTTACAAACGGAAAAGCTAGAGAGAATACATAAATAAAATAGAATCCTTGGGTTAGGAATAGATGACATATCCTGCCAAAGGATCAAAGATAATGGATGCACTACAGTTCATCAAATTTCTAGAGGCTTTCGACGGCTAGACAGAGAAAGCACTACTGACAGGCATCCCGACGGATTTACGCAATGAAAGTACACTCTGCGCATCAAGTATTTCACTATTTCATTCAGACGTAAATGTCAGATGTAAATTTCGCTAAAACATTTCTTTTATTTTCGTTTGTGTTTTTTGCTCATTACAGTTTAATAGAACCTAAGTATGGAGTTTAATAGCAAATTAAGAGGCCGCGTGATTAACAGTCAATCTCGCGAAATAATAGCCAATGTTATAGAGTTTATGAGAAGGGAAGGAAACTTTAATTCACCTTCAATACCATTTAAAAATGTAAATGATCGTGTTGCTGCAGCCACAGGAGTATCTAAAAACACTGTCGTCCGCATTTCTGGAGAGAAAAAAAGAATCGATAACCGTGAGATATCGGAATTTTCATCACCAAGAAAAACCATTAAAAAACCAAAAACAGTTAATGATATAGATGAAGCTGCACAAGAATCAAATTTTATTTTTTTATTATTAGATAGCTATTTTTGTTTCTGAGTTGTGTTCATTTACAGGCTCAATTTTTTTCCGTTTCTCCTTTTTGATTTTATATGGGGTTTCAAGTTGTTTTTGACTTATTTCGACGTAAATCACAACAACACACTTTTTTAATAAAGCAAACAAGTGTTAAGAGGTATATGTACGTGTAAACTACAATTACAAAAAATTGATATGAAACCCATGAAACCACCAACAAAAATGTAAAGCTAGCTTCCGTACTAGAACATGATGTCATTCGTCGAGATAATTTATCGTTTTGTTTAATAGATCAAGAAATGTAAATATTCCCCTGTTATTTTTTATAAAATTATAAGAGAAATAAATTTTTTTCTAAATAGTATAGTTTATTATTTTGTAGAAAAACAAAATTTCGAAAATTTTAGTAATGTTTCAGAAACAACCGTTATTAATAATAGGTACCATTTTCCTTAATAAGGTAGAAATAAAATATAAACTATTTCCACGATTTACAAAGGCCTACAAAAAAATTATAGGTATTTTCCGCTATCCTATAAAATTTATATTTTCTGACTCAATTTCAAAAGGTTGAAGGAATTCCAAAACACCTTTTATGGCATAATAATTATTTTCAATTCTACATACTATCTTTAGCTGCTTTAAAAAACGTTCTAAGAAAGTCCAATCAGACCAATTTAATCCCTAAACTATTCCACACTTTTAAAATTTAATTACCTAAAAATATTAAAAACTATTTAAAATAACTTGTTTAGCAGACTGTACAATAGCTATCTTAGTCACACGTAGCGCGTTCTCTGTCTGGGCGTCGAACACCTCTAGAAATTTGATGAACTGTAATTAGCACTATCCACTATTGATTCGGGAAAATCCCCGTACACAGGCCTTCAATAGAAAGAGGAAATAAAGGAGCTGGGAGAAGAAACAGAACCAACTCCTAGTACTTCCAAAGATGAGATTGATGTAGAGAGCATAGAGCCTTAACCTCTCAAATCTCTGCGTAGATCTGAGGATGTAGAAATAGATGAAGCAGAAGAGGTGGATATGGAACACACCCTCACCGATGGGGACGGCACCCCCATTAAAGGAGAGTAAAATGGCGGGCATCGATATCGCCCAAGTGGGGCTCAGCTGTGATCTCCAGGACATTCACTGAAGATCAATTAGGGATAGTACTGATCCAGGAACCGTGGGCTTACGGGAACCTGGTAAGAGGACTTGCATGTAAGGATGCAAGGGTAATTTATCACACTAGTGATAAAGTACCCAGAACATGCATAATGGTAAGAAATAATATTAAATATTCTTGTCTTTCAGAATTCATGACGCATGATCTCGTTCCAATTCGAGCATACCTGGAATTAGGGATGAGTCGGCAAGACATAATAATGACTTCTAGTTACTTCGGAGATGGGCCTGTACCACCCCCGGAAGTATCAAGGCTAGTGGAGTACTGCCAGAGAAAACATCTGCCATTACTTCTTGAAAGCGACGCCAACGCGCACAGCACCATATGGGGGAAGCAATGACACCAATCACAGAGGTGAGCAACGTTTAGAATATATTTTTAATAAGAACCTTATTGTGCAAAATATTGGGAATACTCTAACATTTGTAACAAGGGCAAGAAGAAGTACACCGAACATTAAAAATTAAGTTATAAACTGGAGAGTATCGAGTGAACCATCTCTATCTGATCACAAGATAAACCGTCATCTGTCAAACTTACGATCCGAAGTGCGGAAGTTCTATAATAAAGCCAAGCATAGCGGAGATTGGCAGAGCTACACCGAGGCTTTTACTACCTATAACATAGAAATCAGGAAAGCTAAACGTAACAGCTACAAAAAATTCTACGAGAATATTAACTTTACACCTGCGGCAGCGAGACTGCACAGGACCCTGGCAAAAGGGAGAGTTGATACAGTTATGGCACTAAAGAAACCAAATGCAAGCTTCACGGAGAGTGAGGAGGAAAGAGCTCGCCTCTTACTCCAAACTCACTTTCCTGGAAGCACACCTTTTCTAATAAGGGACACAACTAAGGTAAGCAGGCCCCCAAGAGAGGCCGCTGTAGTGGCCAAACACATATGCAGCAGAAATCGGTTAAAATGGGCCGTAAACACTTTTGAACTGTTCAAGTCTTCAGGTGTGGATGGAATATTTCCTGCCTTGATTCAGCAGGCACAGGAAGAAGTACTACCACACATAATCCGGTTATCCCGGAGCAGTCTGGAACTCGGATATATACAAGAAGCATGGAGAAGAACCAGAATCACCTTTATTCCAAAAGTAGTGAAAAAGGATATCACACATCCACATCCTTTGTATTAAAATCAATGGAGAAGGCTGTTGATAATTATATCAGAATGGAAGTCCTGGAGAGGGTGTCACTTCACCACAGTCAGCACGCGTACTGAGCAGGAAAATCTACAGAAACTGCCCTGGTACAGCTGACTGACGTAATCCAGGATGCACTGACAAAGAAACGGTCGTGTGTGCCTCCCTAGACATAGAAGGAGCTTTTGGCAACACGCCACACGAATCTGTCAAAAGAGCACTTGCATACAGAGGAGTAGAGTAGGGCAGGACACTATCTCCATTTGCACAACCAGAGGATGTTGACAAGGAGGAGTTATATCTCCACTAATGTGGCTTGACTGACCTCGGCATACCCTGTCAAGGTTATGCCGACGACATATTTGCTGTATGATATAGTCCAACAAAGACTAGAACAGACCAAAAGATGGTGTTGTGAAGTGGAACTTAGTATAAACCCTACAAAATCAACATTAGTAGCCTTTTCAAGGAAAAGAAAATAATCTCAAAACCTTAAATTAGAAGGGATAGATATAGAATGGAAAAATGAAGTCAAATATCTAGGCCTAACCCTGGACAACAGACTTCTCTGGAACACACATCAGAAGGAAGTAGTAAATAAGGCCACAAAAGCCCTAATGGTATGCAAAAACATTGCGGGTAAACGATGGGGATATAACCCGAACACACTGCGATGGATGTATACTGCAATAATGAGACCAATCATCATTTACGAGGCTATAGCCTGGAGTAACAGAACTAGTTTAGCTACTACGAGAGCTAATATCTCAAAAGTACAAAGACTAGCCTGTATTTGCAACGCCGGTGCAATGGCCTGTCCTACGGCCGCAATGGAGGTGATCTTAAACCTTACCCCTCTACATTTAATGATAGAGAATGTGACAAAAAGGACACGATATAGAATAATCAGGAACGGAGTAATCAGACGAAAGTCTACTTGCCTAAGAACCAAAAATACCTGGGATATGTCACAGGATGAAATGATAAAGAAGTACAGTTTTGTGAAAAACTTCAAATCTACAGAGCTGGGCTGCAAGAAAGAATGGAGGCAACAATCCATCGCGCTTGCAACCGAAAGACATGCTATGCTATTCAGTGGTATACGGATGGTTCCAAAAGCATAGAAGGAACTTGTTAAATCGTTGAAATTGATGTAATTATGGACTGTATGTTTCACTGATTCTAATCTTTATTTTAATAGAACAATTACAAATAATTAGCAAAATAAACGTAAAAAAAAACAGAGCGTTGCAAAAGTCAAATAGTCAATATCAATCCATGTAATCCCGCGTTCTTGTTCGGACAGCACATCCATCGCGCCGCGCAGGGTTTTTGGACCGTCTCTTCTTATTGGCTGGCGCAGTGTCGCGTCACACACTGTTGACACCGTTGCCGAGCGTAAGATATATTTATTGTATGTGTTTATCTGCAATGAATGTCTTAAACAGAACTGGAATAGGAGTGTATGGGCCGAAAGCTTGGGAAAATACTCAAGCATCTTCCAGGCGGAAATTCACGCTATCGAGAAATGTATCTAGTTTAACATCGAGAGAAACTATCGTAGACAAGAGATTATCATCATGTCCAATAGCCAAGCAGTCATCAAAACGCTGAGCTCTTACGTAATCAGCTCAAAAATGGTCTAGAGATGCCTAGAACAATTGAAGGTACAGGGTAACAAGATTG